GGTGTGTCTTACGCCTCACAGCTGTGCAGGACCTGAGCTGTGTCGCCACCTGCAGGTGTGGTCCGGACCTGCAGCTGTGTGTTAGACCTGCAGGTGTGTGTTAGACCTCCAGCTGCTGCCATACCTGAGCTGTGGTCCCACCTGCCAGGGTGTGGGTCCGGACCTGGCGGTGTGTGCAAGGACCTCCAGCTGTGCCAGGACCTGAGCTGTAGTCCCGACCTGCAGTGTAGGTCCAACCTTGCAGCTGTGGTTAGAACCTGCAGGTTTGTGTGCTAGACCTGCAGCTGGTGCCACACCTGAGCTTGTCCCGGACCTGCAGCTTTGTGTAGACTGCAGGGGTGTAGACTGCAGGTGTGTGCTAGAGCCTGGCAGGGTGTGTGCTAGACATGCAGGGTGTGTGCTCAGACCTGGCGCTGTGCGTCGACCTGCAGCGCTGTACTTTGACCTTGGCAGGTGTGTACTGACCTCGGTTAGCTGTGGTCCGGACCTGCAGCTGGCTGTGTTAGACCTGCAGGTGTGTACTAGACCTGGCAGCTGTGGCTCTTGCGACCGGTGCAGCTGTGTGTTAGACCTGCAGCTGGTTGTTAGACCCTGCAGCTGTGGGTTGGACCTGGCGCTGTGGCTGTGTTAGACTGGCAGGTGGTGGCTACAACCTGCAGCTGTGTCTGGGCCTGCATGCTGCAGACGGCGTGTGTCTAGACCTGCAGTGTGTGTTAGAACCTGCAGCTGTCGGTCTTGGCCCTGCAGCTGGTGTGTTAGGACCTGCATGCTGTGGTGGTTAGCCTGCAGGCTTTTTTTTTTTTTTGGGGTTCGGTCTGGACCTGCAGCTGTGTGTTAGACCTTGCAGCTGTGTGTTAGACCTGCATGCCAGCTGTGTACTGAGCTGCGGTGTTGTGTAGCCTGCAGCTGCTGCTGTTAGACTGCAGGCTGTGGTCGTACCCTTGCAGGCTGCCGTGGTGTTAACCTGCACTGTGGTCTGGCCTGGCAGCTGCTCGTGCTTAGACCTGCAGCTGTTGTGTTAGACTGGCAGCTGTGGTCGGGACCTGCAGCTGTGGTGTTAGACCTGCAGCTGTGGTCTTGGGCCTGAGCTGTGTGTTAGACCTGCAGCTGTGTGTTAGACCTGCAAGCTGTGTCGACTGCAGCTGTGTTGTAGACTGCAGCTGTGTGTTAGACCTGGCAGCTGTTGGTCTGGCTGCAGCTGTGTGTAGACCTGCAGCTTGGGTCCGAACCTGCAGCTGGTGTGTTAGCCTGCAGCTTGGTGTCCGGACTCAGTGTGTGTTAGACCTGCAGCTGTGTGTTAGACCTGCAGCTGTGGTCTGGGCCTGCAGCTGTGTGTTAGACCTGCAGCTGTGTGTTAGACCTGCAGCTGTGGTCCGGACCTGCAGCTGTGTGTTAGACCTGCAGCTGTGTGTTAGACCTGCAGCTGTGGTCTGGACCTGCAGCTGTTGGTTAGCGCTGCAGGTGTGTACTAGACCTGCAGCTGGGTCTGGCGCCTGCAGCTGTGTGTTAGACCTGCAGCTGTGTGTTAGACCTGCAGCTGTGGTCTGGGCCTGCAGCTGTGTGTTAGACCTGCAGCTGTGTGTTAGACCTGCAGCTGTGGTCTGGACCTGCAGCTGTGTGCCAGGCACTCTCCTGGCACTGGCCTTTGCTGCTCCATCCCAACTCTGCCCCACCCGTTTAGATGTGAATGCAATTTTAAGATGAGGTTATTGATTAAGTATGATATATAAATACATTTACTAAATTTCATTATCACACCATCCATTAATTTCCCAAATAAATAGTGCTGTCAGAATCTACATGTTTTTTGGAACCATTTTCCCTTGGTAACTGGAATGTGACTGTGTGTGTCCTGCTTAGAAATTTAGATGGTAGCATAGTATTCAAGTATCACGTCTCTTTTTAAAGTGCAGCTCTACCTCACATACATGGTGGGCATGGTGGTGTATAGCATGATCAGATTCAGAAAATGATTTCCTTATGACTAGGTGGCCTGCAGGTACCACGTTTACATTTATTGATGTGGATGTGCACAGCTTTCCCCAGACAGGTGCCAAGCCCGCTTGCGTTTGAATTGCTAGGACGCTTGCTTCGCTAGCTGACCATGGTCAGAGTCACACGTACATGGATGTGGCCTTTGCCTGAGAGAGCAGACGGACTGATTACAGTCAGGCCAGGTGCCTGAGCGGATATGAGAAAGTCATATCCTGGTTGATTTCTTAATCAAAGTAACTCTCCATTTTTTTACAAATGAACAGGAAGAAACAGAATACGTGGAACTTCTGGCAGCAGAAAAACATCAAGTTGAAGCCCTTAAAAATATGCAACATCAAAACAAAAGTTTATCCATGCTCGATGAGATTCTTGAAGACGTACGAAAGGCAGCAGACCGCTTGGAGGAGGAGATAGAAGAACACGCCTTTGACGACAATAAATCGGTAAGTGGCGCTCCACAGCTGCTCCTGCACCACTGCGCTCCTTACTCCCGGGGATGTGCTTTTGAAGCTGTTCACGTGTATGTTTTCAGTGTAGCATGGAAACGAAGAGAGGCTGAAGCCCGTCTGCGTCACAGGGAGGGAGAGCTGATTTGGTCTCATAGAAGGAAGCCAGAGATCCTTTATCTCCTGCTTGTGTTTCTCACGGCTGCTGCCTGCCTGGCCGCCCAGGTGGACTGGGGCGGGGTTTGTGTCTGGAGCAGGATTTCAGGCTGCTCGCCGGCTATAGTATGTTTGTGATTTAAGGAAATTGACTGTGGGTCTTGGTGTGGACTCACAAAAGGGTTAGGTAATAAAAAACAAATCAGAACAAGATTAGACAAGAGAGGGGAGAGAATAAAAATGCAGTGAAAGAAACAGTATTTAAAAAATGTATTAATTAGAGGAAAACTCATATGTATTTTAAGGTCTATGAATTTTTGAAAGAATATGCCCTACATCAGGTAAAGTAGATATTTGGAAGCAGCAGAACTTCTAAACCTTTCTACCCTTAAATTCTTTTTTTCTTTGAGGCAGAGTCTCACTTTCTCACCCTGGGTGGAACCCAATGGCGTCAGCCTAGCTCACAGCAGCCTCAAACTCCTATGCTCAAATGATCCTCCTGCCTCAGTCTCCTGAGGAGCTGGGACTACAGACAGGCACACAGCACCAAGCCCGGCTAATTATTCTATTTTTTTAGTAGAGATGGGGTCTTGCTCTTGCTCTTGCTCTTGCTCAGGGTGGTCTTGAACTCTTGAGTTCAAGCAATCCTCCCACCTCAGCCTCCCCGAGTGTTAGGATTACAGATGTGAGCCACTGTGCCCGGTCCCTTAAATTTTGTTTTTGTTTTTTTTTTTGAGACAGAGTCTTACTCTCTTGCTTGGCCTAGAGTGCCGTGGCATCAGCTTAGCTCACAGAAACCTCAAACTCCGGAAATCAAGCAATCCTCCTGCCTCAGCCTCCTGGGTAGCTGGGACTACAGGCAGGCGCCAACATGCCCAACTAATTTTTTCTCTCTTTTTTTAGTTGTTTTGCTAATTTCTTTCTATTTTTAGTAGAGATGGGGTCTCACTCTTGCTCAGGCTGTTCTCAAACTCCTGAGTTCAAGCAGTCCTCCCGCCTCGGCCTCCCAGAGTGCTAGGATTACAGGCGTGAGCCACGACGCCCAGTCCCTTAAATTCTTTAATTGAAGAAAAATGTCCAAATTCTTGCTAATAAACGCTGACCTTTCATCACATTTGGCAGAATGCTGAGACCATGTCTGTCCTCCTCCTGTTTAGCGTTTACTCTCTGAAAACTGAAGTTGAAGGCCGCTTTTGGTTGTTCCCACAGGTGAAAGGGGTCAACGTGGAGGCCGTGCTGCGGGTGGAGGAGGAAGAGGCGGGCGCCAAGCACAACGCCACGAGGGGCGAGGGCGAGGGTGGCCTGGGGCTCAGCATGCTGATCGACTCCCAGAACAACCAGTACATCCTGACCAAGCCCCGGGATGCCACCATCCCGCGCGCCGATCCCCACTTCATCAAGGTAGGCTGCCCCGGCCCAGCCTGGGGAGAGTGAGGGTGATGCTGGGCGCACAGCGCCTTTGGCAGAGGTCCCGCTAGGGTTCCCGGCGCTTCCTGTGGTTTGCGGCGGCCTCTCTTAATCTCTAATTTTTCCTTCTAAAGGAATAAGGCATTTTGATATTTAAAAATGAAAATCTTTTAAATACAACTCACATGGCAAATAAAAAAAATGCAAAAACATTAAAAGTAAAAAATAATAAAGGAATTTAAAAAATGAATAAAAAGTAAAAAAAAATTAAAAAAAAAGTAAATAAAAATAAAAAATAAAATGAAAATCTTGTTTTGGAGAATTTGGAAGACTTTTTGAAATTAGGAGTTACCGTAATGGGATTACAACCTCAGCCATCTCCAAACCGTTTTTCGCTAAAGTAAACCCTCTGTAAAAGGCAGAGAAGTGTTGGCTGTGGAGTCACGCGGCTTCGCTCGGACTGGGGTGCGGAGTGTGGACCCCTCCCGTGGTGCCTCCAGAGGGAGTGAGGCTCACAGGTGTGAACCTGTGCTGATGGCCTGGGATCTGCAGGTGCATGGCTGTCCCTGTGTGGTGGGGACGGGCACTGGGGTCAGGTCTGCGGGTGTGAACCTGTGCTGATGGTCTGGGATCCGCAGGTGCATGGCTGTCCCTGTGTGGTGGGGATGGGCACTGAGGGGTCAGGTCTACAAGTTGAGTGTCTCGGTGCCTTACAGGGTGGGCATCTCCACTGAGAAGTTAGTCTGTCCTCCCTTTATAATGAGTAAGCAGTTTCTGGGGAGATGTGTTGAGACTGTGTGAATGTCTTATTCCTCATCACGCTGTCCCCCAGCAGGTGCAGCACCCTTCGATGATCCCTGCCTGCCCCAGGGTGGAGTGATGGCTGCATTGACCTCACATGGTGGGAGAGCCAGTGGGAAGGGCACACACAGAGCTCTGGCATTTTCCCAGCTTGGGAAACTCTATGGAATTCTAGTCCTCAGAGTTCTTACAGTGCTCTTATGGGGCTTAGGCAAAACAGAAAGATGTTGCTATGTGTCATCTCTCTGCATCCACTGGTTCCACATCCTTGAATGTAGCCAATTGTGGATCGAATATATTCAGGAAAAAAGCAATAAAGGATAACAATGCAATAAAAAAATACAAACTAAAAGAATGTAGTAACAGCTGTTTACATAGAATTACCTTGTATCAGATATCTAGAATTTACTTTGTATCAGGTTTCATAAGTAATCTGGAGACTGCCTACAGCACATGGGGGCTGTGTGGGTCGTGGGCGAGTACCAGGCCGTTTTGTCTCAGGACCGGAGCACTGGAGAGTTTGTTATCTGGGGGTGAGTTATGGGGAGGGTCCTAGAACCAGTCCCCTGAGCATAGCAAGGGATGGCCGTGGTGATTAGGTTGTCAGGAGCTCCCTTTGTCTACTTTGCGCTCTTACTGTCTGCAACGTCTCTGTGACAGGAGTGGTAAAAAGGCCCCGTCTCAGCCCCATCGTTGCCCTGCGTTCCCGTAGATGAAATCCGGGAAGTGCTCTCTCAGTCAGCCAGCCCATCCTCATCGACTGCCGCGTTTGATTTCTGATGTGTGCTGTTCTTGCACTAGGACATCGTGACCATAGGAATGCTGTCTCTGCCTTGCGGCTGGCTGTGCACGGCCATCGGACTGCCCACGATGTTTGGCTACATCATGTGCGGCGTGCTTCTGGGACCCTCAGGGCTGAACAGTATCAAGGTAAGAACAAAATGTAACTGTTTCAGTATCTGGCTAACAGAATATAAAAGAGATATGCATGAAGACTGAACAGTTTTGAACTTGAATTAACAGAGATAAGTTTCTTAGAAACCATACAAAAGAAGATATCCTTTCTGGCTTCATAAGAAATCTTCTCTAAAGTATAAGGAAGTCATTTTGTTTGTTGATGATGGAGAGACTTAACTAGAGAAAACAGCCCTGTTCATGTCTTTAAGTTACATTAGTGTTAGAGCTTCCTTTTCTAGTCATGCTATGGACCAAATTATTTAGACCCACTCTTCACACACTGAAAGCAACTAAAAACACTGTGTCAAATGGATTTTTAAGCGTTTTTTTGTTTGTTTGTTTGAGACAGAGTCTCACTGTGTTGCCCAGGCTAGAGTGCTGTCGCATCAGCCCAGCTCACAGCATCCTCAAACTCCTGGGCTCAAGCGATCCTCCTGCCTCAGCCTCCCACGTAGCTGGACTACAGGCATGCGCCACCATGCCCAGCTAATTTTTTCTATATGTGTATTTTATTTGACCAATTAATTTCTATTTTTAGTAGAGACAGGGTCTTGCTCTTGCTCAGGCTGGTTTCGAACTCCTGAGCTTGAGTGATCCACCCAACTCGGCCTCCCAGAATGCTAGGATTACAGACGTGAGCCACCACGCTTGGCCTTAAGTGTTTGTTTCTTAACATGTGGGAAAACTAATGACAAGCCCAGGTCCAGAGAGGCCACTGGTAGTGAGGTCGTTTGCTGGACGGGTTGACTGAGCCCACCGTTGGCACTGTCGGCAGGGGGAAGGGTCCCTAAGCTTCTGTGGGCTTCCAGGTGTGTCATGAATACACACAGGTGGGAGCAGCAGGGAGAGAGGGTGCCACCTGTGCTGTGAGGCCCTGCACAGGGGGACGGCACACAGCAGGGTGGCTGAGACCAGGGAGGCTGGCGTGCTCCCCAAGTCTCGTTCCCTGTGCTGATTGATGGGCCTGAGCCGGCTCTGGGCTCCCCAAGTTCCCCAGACTGCAGAGACGGAAAGGTCTGAGCAGTGATCCCAGGAAACCAGTCTGGACAGCGGGTGAGCTCTGGCCGGGGGAGGGGAGCCCACCCGGTGGCCTCAGGCTGGAGCTCAGCTCACGGCTCGGGGAGCCTGAAGGGGAACTGCATACCCACATGGGGGTCCCAAGGGCAGGGTTCACCTGCCGGAGGGGTCTCTGGGGAGAATGGCTATTTTAATTTTTTGATTAGGTTTTTATTCATATGATTCAAAACAATATAAAAAGCCATAGGTGAGAAATTTCTTTCTGCCCTTGTCCCACCCACCCTTCCAGAGTATTTGCAACTAAAAGCAAATACAAATTATTTCTTTTCCTTTCCTTTTTCTTTTTTGAGACAGTCTCACTTTGTTGCCCTGAGCAGAGTACAGTGGCGTCAGCCTAGCTCACAGCCACCTCAGACTCCCAGGCTCAAGCGATTCTCCTGCCTCAGCCTCCCTAGCAACTAGGACTACAGACATGCGCCACCATGCCCGGCTGATTTTTCTGTTTTTCATAGAGATGGGGTCTCACTCTTGCTCAGGCTGGTCTCAACTTCCTGACCTCAAGCAGTCCTCCTGCCTCGGCCTCCCAGAGTGCTGAGATCAAATGAGTGAGCTGCCGTGCCCAGCTCTTTCCTTAAGAAAATACGTAAGAAGTAAGGATGGCAAAGAGAAGGCCAAGATTCGATTACGTAAATATGGTAATTCAACAAATAGCTTTGTGGAAAATGGTATAATTATAAAGTAAAACCAAGATGAAATCCAGGTGATACTGGCCCAAAGTGGGACAGAGACGCCACCACTCTACGTGCTCACTAGGTGGTTTTGGCTGCGATGGCTCATCAGGTGTACAGCCATCGTAAGCCTGGGAAGCCATCTGTAATTGGCCACACATTTACTTTTCCTAGCAAAGGTTGATAGACTTTTTATGGATTAAGTTGAGAAATACAGTTTTAATATGTTATTTTGAAGTCCTAAGCTCACATTTTTAAAAAGGAAAAAGAGAAATAACAATAAAGCATGATAACCGGAAGACAAAGGCAATAAGAGCAAACGGCTGTCATAGTAATACATGTAAATGGAATGAACCCCCTCTTTGAAAGACCAGGTTTGCAGATGGTGTCAGGAAAATAGCACTATAAACGAGATTCAGTGAGAATGGAGGGCTGCAGAGGCTGGAAGGAAAGGAGGAAACAAGAAGCAAAAGCAGGGCAGGGTCACACTTGTCCTGCCGACAACCCAGCCAGCCCCGCCCTTGGCAGGGGTGGAGGGGCGGGGGGGGGGCAGTGCAGGGTGTGGATGCTGTGCCCATGCTGGGCCACTGCTCATATTAAAGAGCTGAGCAAGGCCAGGCGCGGGTCACACCCTGTAATCCTAGCCTTCTGGGAGGCCAAGGCGGAGGATCATTTGAACAGGCGTTCAGACCAGCCTGAGCAAGAGTGAGACCTATCTCTACTAAAAAATAGAAATAAATTAGCTGGAGATAAAAAATATATATATATGTGTGTTTGTTGTATATATATTTACACATACACATTAGCTGGGCATCATGGTGCATGCCTGTAGTCCCAGCTACTCAGGAGGCTGAGGCAGGAGGATCACTTGAGCCCAAGAGTTTGAGGTTGCTGTGAGCTAGACTGACGCCACAGCACTCTAGCCCAGGCAACAGAGTGAGAATCTGTCACAAAAAAAAAAAAAAAAAAAAAAGGCTGAGCAAACAGTAGCCACCATAAACCCTCAAATGCAAGTAATTGAGTGTGGCGGTTATAGACAACACCCTCTAGTGTGATCACATCAAAAGTAAACAGCAGATGAAGAGTCAAAACAAACAGAGAACAGTGCATGTAGAGACCCGTGGCGTGGCCACCTGTGGTTCTCAAGCGGAAGTTTCCATCCCAGATGGAGTGAAGCAGTAGTGGAGTTAAGCACCAAACTCAAGTCAGGTTCTCCGCATGCCTCAGGAAGGCTGAGGAAGGGAACGCGTAAAGATTAAAGCAGCTATGAATTTGAAAATAGGTGAATCCATGAGCTAGTTCTTATAAAATAAAATGGAAATTAAACATTCCTCTAGCTAATCAGGAGAAAAGGGAAAAAAAAACTACAATCAGGAAGTCAAAATTATTTCAGATATAGAAGAAATTCAAAGAATTGGTTTTTTAAAAAAAAATACTGGGTTTTTTTTTGGTATTCTGAGTATGTAAATGCATGATTATTCAGTTATGTATACTTAATATACTAACATAAAATTATATGGCTTTACATTTTCTTGTTTTTCAGTCTATTGTACAAGTGGAGACATTGGGAGAATTTGGGGTGTTTTTTACTCTTTTTCTTGTTGGCTTAGAATTTTCTCCAGAAAAGCTGAGAAAGGTAAGAACCTGTTGCCTCTAAGCGACTTCATATCATATGATTCGGTTTGTTCACTTTTAGTATCTGTTGACGGTTTGGCTATCAGTTAAATATTTTTAGAATAGAATATGATATTTCAGTTTGGTGTTATTTTTCGAACATAAATTTAAAAAGATAACAAATGTTAAGTCTGAAAAAGTGGAATTTCAGTGAATAACTGGAATTAGCTTTCATGTGGCTAATTTCAGAAAAGGTTTGAGCTAACATGTTTCAACTTTAATATACCGGTCCCCCCAGGAATGTGCAAAACTGTGAGAGGGTGAAATGCCACAAAGATTGAATATTCAGTGTTTTGCCCTAGATAAACTCCCTGCACTGGAAGCGAGTTAGTTGCAAGGCACTTTGCTGATGTGAAGCGGAGTGGGCGGGGTCGTGGCCTGCCTAGGCGGCGCCAGCTCGCCCTCAGCACCCCCTGCAGAAGTTCCTAAGTGACCTGAGGGGTGATGACACAGACATGCTGGAGCCAGACTGGTGGCAGTCACAGCACTCGCCCTTTCTGGAGAGCCGTCCAGCAGTTTGACTAAAGAGCCTTTGACCCAGTAGTTCTCTGTCTCTATGCGAAGGACAGAGTCTAACATACGTTAAAAAAAAAAAAAAAAATTACCCATAAGTATTTTCAAGCCCTCATTGTAGCATTTTTAGGGAGGATTGGAAACAGTCTTGAGTGTCTAGTGAGTGCTCAGCTGAACCCGGACAACTGCTTGATGGATACTAAGTAGCCATGAAAATGTTACGTATAGTAACAAACGGAAATCATTGTTGCAATGCTGAGTTTGGAAAACGATGGGCATACAATGTGACGGTTGCAATCTAAAAGAAGCATAAATACATGGGGGGAAAACAGGAAATAAATATACCAAATAACCATGGATGAATTCTTTTTCTTCATATTTCCCAAATTTTCTATGCTAATCAGTATATACTTTGTCATACGATGATGAGAAATAAACTTTTAAAGTCTCGTGTTTGCTTTCGAGAGCGGCTGCTCTGATTTCCCTGATGCCTTTTTTATATTCTTTTTTTTTTTTGAGACAGAGTCTCACTTTGTTGCCTAGGCTAGAGTGAGTGCCGTGGCGTCAGCCTAGCTCACAGCAACCTCAAACTCCTGGGCTCAAGTGATCCTCCTGCCTCAGCCTCCCAAGTAGCTGGGACTACAGGCATGTGCCACCATGCCCGGCTAATTTTTTCTATATATATTAGTTGGCCAATTAATTTCTTTCTATTTATAGTAGAGACGGGGTCTCACTCTTGCTCAGGCTGGTTTCGAACTCCTGACCTGGAGCAATCCGCCCGCCTCGGCCTCCCTGAGAGCTAGGATTACAGGCGTGAGCCACCGTGCCCTGCGCCTTTTTTATATTCTTTTCCCGCTTATCTCCTGGGTGCGTCCGCCCCCAGGACCTTCTGCTTTCCTCCCCTTCTCTCTTTCCCTTCGTCCTGATTCACTTTCCTGCCCCTTCCTTGTTTCTGGCATGCAAAGCTCCGGAGCATTCCGTTTTCAAACTCTGAGGTTAAAGGAAACCTCCCTTTCCTGGGCCCTGGAAGAAGCAGCCCCATCCTTCCTCCGTGCTGTGAGCTGCGTGCTCTGCTGGCAGGAGGGCAGGCTGGGTGGGGGCTCTAGGGCTGCTGCAGTGGGGCTCACCGGGGCTGCTCCTTGTGGTAGTGCAGTGGGCTCCTGCGTGAGTTTAACCTGGAGGAGTTTGTAGGAGGAGTTTGTAGTGGGTGGCTTGAGCAGACGCCCAGGAGGAGGGAGGGGAGAGCGGGCAGGGGGGCCAGGGAGGCCGTCTGCAGCAGCTGATGGGGACTCAGCAGGGTGCCCGCCATCCCGACAGCAGTCTCCTCATCCACACAGGCAGGAACCTGGAACAGTACGGTTTCTGCTGGCTCTAAATTTACATAGTTTATATTTTTCTCCATTGTAGTATTTAGAGTTAACATATAAGATAGTGCTATGTCACATATCGTGAACATAATAACTTTAGACCATGTAGAAGCAGTGCGGCTTTCTCAGTGTTGCTGTTATTTGAGTCACGCGCCGAGGGCTTTGTACGCAGCTACGAGAGTTCGTGGGTGGCGGTGTTGGCTTCGGCTTGGAAGGAAGCGTGTGTTGGATGTAGGTGAGATGCCCGGCGGGTTGGATGCTGCTGTAGCCTGCTGAGTGGGAGAGACGCGGGGGCCCTTCTGTGAGTGCTCTGCCCTGCACCTGGCTGGGGGACTCGCCCTCCTTGCCTCCTGTGGGGACGGGAGCCTCCCCTCCCAGGTCCGGAGTCTCTGCTGCTGCCACCTGGCGGAAGCCCTCCGCACGGGCTCGCCGGAGATGCACCTCGCTGCTCTTCCAGTCCGAGGACTGGAGTTCGGAAGGTTACGTCTGCCTAGCAGACTGCGTTACTGAGTAATCTGTTTATCACTCAGGAGTAAACACATGACAGGGCTTTAGAACGGCCTGAAGGAACCAGGGTAATTGTTCTGAATTCACCGGGCTCCAACCACGTGGCCCCCTCTCATGGCGGACAGATCGCTGGATTTTTGAAATATTAGTGATTGCCAGAAAGGCCCTGTTGGACTTGCGCAGGATCCCCTAAAAGTCTGATTGGAACCATCCCCAACACTGGAGTCCACACCAACTTCCCATGTCTTGATGGCAAGGGGGTCGCGGCGCCTGGTCCCAGCGTCTGGGTGTCTGTCGATTTGCGAGTCGGTGCACACTGCCTCCTGGGCGCTCCTCTGGCTCCGCTTGAATTCTTCTTAAATCTTCTCTCACGAGTTTATTAGCTTCTGCTCCTCTCTAAACAGACCCTAAGGTCACTGGGGTGAAGTTGCATGTTCTTCTCTTTCGTATCTCCCTCGTTCTCCCGCCAAATCCCTGCTGAGCCCCTGTGGTGTCAGACCCCAGAAGCTGCTGGGGTGAGGAGAAGCGAGACGCAGACACGCCCTGCCCTGGGGCTGCATTCGGGATTGCAGGAGCACACGTCTTAGGAACAGGAAAGAGAAGACAACTGGAGACAGGGTATCCGAGGCGCGCGTCCCAGGGCCACAGCCTGCGGGCTCGCCACGCCGCTTCCTGTGCTCCATGCATGTGCACCGGTCACCTGGGTGTCCCGCCACACGCAGGCCCTCACCGGGGGCCTGTGGGCTGCCTTTCCAGCAGTCTGAGGGTCCCACGCTGGATGGGAAGCTTCCCACGGCTCTTTGCCTGTCGCTTCCCACGTGGGCCCCTCCGCACCTTGCCTCGCAGGCAGGTGGGCTCCTGGGGCTCCTGGCCACCGCGTGGAAAGACACTTGATGACGCGGTCAAAGAAGGTTTGTCTCGTGATGACCCTGAAATAATCTAGTCTTGCCCTTCCCCTGCACACATGTGGGCTGGTTAGACAGGGCTTTGGCTGGGCGTGTGCGGTGAGGGGGGTCAGGTGTCGGGCGCGGTGCTGGTTAGACCCGGCTCTGGCTGGGCACTTGGTGCTGGTTAGATCCGGCTCTGGCTGGGCGCGCGGGCGTGGGGGGATCAGGCGAGCGCTCGAGACAGGACAGGGCGAGCTCCAGTCTAATCCCTTTGTCAGTGCGTGATGCCCCAGTTTTGCCCCAGCGTGATGCCCCAGCGTGATGCCTGCCTGATGCCAGGCGGTTTTTATCGTCTCTTCCCTTCAGATAGATCGAGAGCCCTCAGGGGTTAGGGTCGCAAGCCGGTTTCTTCGTGAGGGTTGGCCTGGGGCCCTCCTGGCACCCAGTAAGTGCTCGTTTGAGAATCGAGTGACACGGGGTTTGTTTGCTGCCTGGCTCTTCGTGGCCTTGGCCATGTAACCTCACCTCCGAGTGCCTCAGTTTTCATCTGAAAGTGGGGACATGGCGATCCTGACCTCCGAGGTTAGATTTTGTTTGTTTATATCTATTGGGGAGAAAGCACATATGTGACGTTGCATACGTGTGGGGTGTGTGCGTGTAGCCCCTGTGACAGTGCCTGGCAGGTGAAGGCCTTGTACAGGTGTTTGTCGTGTCAAGAATGTGACACGGGATGTATGACTCGGAGTCGCTGCCTAAGCGATCAGGCGTGTGTCCTTTACCAGACACGCACACGCATGACTTGTGCGTGGTGCTGGGCGGGAGGCTGCCTGCCGTCCCTGACCGTGTGGTGTGCTCTCTCCCAGGTGTGGAAGGTCTCCTTGCAGGGGCCGTGCTGCATGACCCTGCTGATGGTGGCCGTCGGCCTGCTGTGGGGGCACCTGCTGAGGATCAGACCCACGCAGAGCGTGTTCATCTCCACCTGCCTGTCCCTGTCCAGCACGCCCCTGGTGTCCCGCTTCCTCGCGGGCAGCGCGAGGGGAGACAAAGAAGGTAGGTGGCGGTGCGTTCCAACCACGTGGGGCTGGAATTCCCTGGCAGGTGGGAGAGAAAATGGGATCCTTGCGAAGGAGAATTAGTTTCCCAGATGGAAAACAGTAAAATTAGAGCCCTCCCTGGACTGTTAAGAAAAAAATCACTCCTATGTGGATGAGACACCTAAACGTGAAACGCAAAACTTTAGAACTATCAGAAGGAAATGGAGGAAAATAGCTTTATAGCCTTAGGATAGAGAGTATTTCTTAAAATACAGAATCCAGAAGAGAAAATAGTAATAAACATGACACATTAAACTCTAACTTTTAATAAAGCTATTTTTTATGAGCCACAGGCCAGGGGAAGAGATTTCACAGATAGGCGGGTGGATACACATGAGGAAAGGACACAGATGTGAAAGGCACAGATGTGGCTTGAGTGTGCGGCAGGGCTAGGCTTCCTCAGCCTCCCCCTCAACCCTGGAGCGAGACTTGCCTGCCCGGCCTTGTGCAGCTCTGACCTGCAGAGGCCTCCTGGGCCGTGCCGCCCCCAGAGCTCAGACCTGCCAGCGAGCGAGCGCCCGGGCGGTTGCCGTGGGCTGGCTGGCTCGCCAGGGGAGGAGGAGCCGCGTCCCTTCCCACGCAAAGTGCCCTGGTCCTGGCGGGGTAGCGTGTGCGAGGCAGGAGTGGGGGAAAAGCCCTTCTTGTGAAAATACGAGCAAAGGAAAGGAAAGTCTTCCGGATAAATATGCCAGAATTTTCATTGCAGCGTTGTTTGTAATAGCAGAAAACTTGACATCCTGAATGTCCATCAATAGATGAATGGAGGCCGGGCGCCGTGGCTCACGCCTGTAATCCCAGCACTCTGGGAGGCTGATGCAGGTGGATTGCTTGAGGTCAGGAGTTCGAAACCAGCCTGAGCAAGAGCGAGACCCATCTCTACTCTAAATAGAAAGAAATTAATTGGCCAACTAATATATATAGAAAAAATTAGCCGGGCATGGTGGCGCATGCCTGTAGTCCCAGCTACTCGGGAGGCTGAGGCAGGAGGATTGCTTGAGCCCAGGAGTTTGAGGTTGCTGTGAGCTAGGCTGACGCCACGGCATTCACTCTAGCCTGGGCAACAAAGCGAGACTCTGTCTCAAAAAAAAAAAAAAAATAGATGAATGGATAAATTGCAGTATGTTCCACAACAGTTTTCAAAATGAACCAGCTTTGCGCATCAACATGGAGAGTTTTCAGATATCATGCTGAGCACAAAAATAAAAAAGGCAAGTTGCAGAAATGTTGATTGTGTACAGGTTTAAAATTGCAAAGTAAACTCGGTGTTTGTAAATACACAAGTATTAAGGTAGCTGGTAAACCTTGCGTCCAGTCGCGCCTGGGTGTGGGAGGAGCGAGGCCCCCAGCACAGCTCACGGGCTTCTCGGCGGGGCCTGGACTGTTTTATTTCTTTCCAAAAATGTGGCGTGAAGATGTCAAAAGTTTTAAAATTCAGCAACATTCAGTAGTGGATATTTGAGCATTGTGATGATATTCCTTATTTTCTGACATTTAAACTGTTTGGTAAAAGGAATGGAAAAACAGGAAAAAATAGAATGCTTCTAATAGTGATAAGCACAAAAATTAGTGCAAAGTGTGCAAAAAGATGAAAATGTTAGAAGTGGTGAGTCTTTAGTTTTTAATATCAGGTAACTATATATGAAATGTCAGATTTCCAATCAAAAGTGTAGTTTATCATATCTCTAACTATTGACGGATTTTTGCCATCTGAATGGTAGCTTTTTTTTTCTTTTTCTTTTTCTTTTTTTTTTTGAGACAGAGTCTCACTCTGTTGCCTGGGCTAGAGTGCCGTGGCATCAGCCTGGCTCACAGCAACCTCAAACTCCTGGGCTCAAGCGATCCTCCTGCCTCAGCCTCCCAAGTAGCTGGGACTACAGGAATGCGCCACCATGCCTGCCTAATTTTTTCTATATATTTTTAGTTGGCCAATTAATTTCTTTCTATTTATAGCAGAGATGGGGGCTTGCTCTTGCTTAGGCTGGTTTCGAACTCCTGACTTTGAGTGATCCTCCCGCCTTGGCCTCCCATAGTGCTGGGATTACAGGCGTGAGCCACCGCGCCGGCCTGAACAGTAGCTTTTGTATGCCAGCAGCAGAGAAGCCTGGAGAGCAAGTGGTGATGAAATCAGGAAAGGCGTTTTCCACAGCCTGTTGAGAATTGAATATTTTTCCTTGCAAGAAGTGGCCCAAAGCCTGGAAGGCAGGGGTAATCAGTTGGTGCAAGGTGTAGTGAATATAGTAGGTGACAGGGTCTCCAAGTTCAGCCTCTGTAGTTTGAGCGGCATTGTTTGTGCGGCATGTGGCCGAGCGTTGTCTTGCAAGAGGATTGTCTTGTTTCTGTTGAGCAGTCTCCGCTGCTTAATCTCAAGCATCCTCATCATTTCATCCAAATGGTTGTGGTGAACATCGCCATAATCAATTGACCAGGTTTCATGAAGCCGTAGTGGATAATACCAGCTGGACCACCAAATGGACACCACTAGCTTTTTTGATGAATACTCAGTTTTGGACTGTGCTTCGGCAGTTCATCTGTACCCAACCGTTGTGCTGCACGCTTGCTGTTGTCAAAAAGAATCCATTTTTCATCACACGTAACAATACGGTGTAGAAATGGCTCGCCTTTATGTAGTGACAGCAAAGAAAGACAAGCTTCGAGGCGATTTCTCTTCTGATGCTCATTTAATTCATGCAGAACGCCCATCTATCCACCTTCTTTACCTTGCCCATTTGCTTCAAATGGTCCAATATTGTTGGAATAGTGATGTTAAACCTTGCTGCTGATTCATACGTAGGTTGAGATGGATTCACTTCCACTACAGCTTTCAGCTCATCAATTGTCCACCTTGGTCTCAGGTCGCCCACGTGGCTCACTTTCAAGGTTAAAATCACCAGAACAGAACTTCTCAAACCACTGATGCACTGTGTGTTCATTAGCCGCATCCTTACCAAACATTTTGTTGATATTTCGAGCTGTCTGTGCTGCACTGGTTCCATGATAGAGCAAATATTCAAAAATAACACGAATTTTTGACTTATCTAGGGTTTCACAAAAATTGCTTTAAAAAATGTGAAAGATAATCAGAAGCCGAAATGTTGGCTCAGGACGTTAGCTCGCGGCGACCCTGCGCCTTCGGTCCCTTGTCTCCCCGCAGGCGACCTGGACTACAGCGCCGTGCTGCTGGGGGTGCTGGTGACCCAGGACGTGCAGCTGGGGCTGTTCATGGCCGTCCTGCCCACGCTCATCCAGGCCGGGGCCGGCGCCTCCGCCAGGTAAGCCCCTGCTGGGCGCGCCTTGTTGCTCTGGTTAGAACCGTCTGTGTGAAAACCCTACCTAGTACCTTTTCCAGAGGTGTCCAGAGCTCACGTGGCGCAGGCTCGTGAGCACAGAAGGGTGTAGGTTACGCCGTGTGAAATACATTCTGAGGGTGCCAGTGAGAAAACTCACACAACTGGGAAGTCTAGGTGCCCCATGAGGTGTGAGGGGGAATCGGGCACAGGACTGAACACTCGGGTTTGTGCTAAGCAAATGCACCGTGATTTATGCATACAAATATTGTGCCTTAAGTATCTCCAGAGGCTGCATTTATTACGTCTCTTGCAGTGAGGGTGCAACTGGGCCAAAGTTGGTAGACTTTTTGGAAGTTTCTTTTGGAACCAGTTTGAACGCTAAGACCTGTCTCATGTACTTTATTTCTTCCTTTCTGATCTGAACGCTTTGGGTTTTTTCTTGCCCTATTGCACAGGCTAGAATTTCCAGCACTGTATTGAGCAAGATCACGTGAGAGGGCACCTTGCCTTCCTCTTGACTGAGGGGTGGTTCACTGTCACCACGTAGCACCACGATAGTTGTAGGTGTTTGTAAATATTCTTTGTCAAGATGAGGACGTTGCCTCATTGGCTGGCAGTGTTTATCGTTTTGTTGGGTGCTTTCTCTGTACCAGTTGATGTGGCCATGCACTTTTTCTTCCTTGACTAGTTGACATGGTGGATGGCGTTGATTGAGCTTTGAAAGCTGAACCAGCCTTGCACACCTGGCATAAATCCTATCTGGTCTAGGTATATGATTCTTTTTATACATTACTGCATTCAGTTTGCTCATTTATGGAGGATTTGGGATCTAAGTTCATGAGAGATATTGGTGTGTGGTTCTCTTTTTTTACGTACACTTTTTATCTGGGTATTAAGAGTCATACTAGGTTCATAAAATGATTTTGGGAGTATCCCTTCCTCTTTATTTTCTGGAAAACATTATATAAAATTGATATTAATTCTTCTTTAATGTTTGGTGGAGTTCATCAGTAAAACCATCTGGGTCATGAGATTTCTTTTGGGGGAGTTTGCTTAAGTTGCAAATTTAACTTGTTTAGTAGTTACAGAGCTATTAAAAGTATCTAGTTCATGTTGTCGAGTTGTGGTAGTTTAGCTTTTAGAGGAATTGTTCCATCCTGTGTCAGTCAGTTTTGTGTGTATATGGCTGTTTGTAGTATTCCTTTATCGTTTTAGTATCTGCAGAGTCTGTGGTGATACCTGTTTCATTCCTGATGTTGGTACTTTGCATCTTCTCTTTTTCCTTTGTTAATCTTCCTAGGGGTTTGGCGATTTTATTATTCTTTTCAGAGAACCAGTTCTTTGTTTCATTGATTTTTCTCTATTTTTCTGTTTTCAATTTCATTGGTTTCTACCCTTGTTTTTTTTGTTTGTTTTTTTTTTGAGATAGAGTCTCACGTTGTTGCCTAGGCTAGAGGGAGTGCCATGGCGTCAGCCTAGCTCACAGCAACCTCAAACTCCTGGGCTCAAGCGATCCTCTTGCCTCAGCCTCCCGAGTAGCTGGGACTACAGGCATGCGCCATCATGCCCGGCTAATTTTTGTATATATTTTTAATTGGCCAATTAATTTCTTTCCATTTATAGTAGAGACGGGGTCTCGCTCTTGCTCAGGCTGGTTTCGAACTCCTGACCTTGAGCAATCCACCCGCCTCGGCCTCCCAGAGTGCTAGGATTACAGGCGTGAGCCACCGCGCCCGGCCACTACCCTTGTTTTTATTATTTCCTTCCTACTGATTGCTTTGGGTTCATTTTTCTGCTTCTAGGTTCTCATGGTGTAAACGTAGATTATTTATTTAAAATGTTTCTTCTTGGCCGGGCGCGGTGGCTCACGCCTGTAATCCTAGCTCTCTGGGAGGCCGAGGCCGGCGATTGCTCAAGGTCAGGAGTTCAAAACCAAGCCTGAGCAAGAGTGAGACCCCGTCTCTTATAAATAGAAGAAATTTATGGCCAACTGATATGGTATATAAAAAATTAGCCGGCATGGGTTGGGCAGTGCCTGTAGTCCCAGCTACTTGGGGAGGGCGAGCGAAGGGATCGCTGGGAGCCCAGGGGGTATTGAGTTGCTGTACGCAGGCTGACGCCCGGGCATAACTCTAGCTGGGAAACAAAGCGAAGACTCTGTCTCAAAAAAAAAAAAAAAAATGTTTCTTCTTGTGTAAGCATTTAGTACTATAAATTTCCCTTTGAGCATGGTTTTAGCTGCATCTCATATATTTTGATATGTTGTATTTTTATTTTCATTCTAAATTTCCTTTGATGCTTCCTCTTTGATCCATGGACTGTTTAGAAGTGCTGCTTAATTTCCAGTCATTTGGAGATTCTCTGTGGCCTTTCTGTTACTGGTTTCTAGATTGACTCCACTGTGGTCAGAGAGCACTTTGTATGGTTTTTAGTTCTGTAAACTGTCGAGGTTTGTTTTATGGCCTGTGGTGAATGCTCCAGAGTCACCTGTGGGAAATGTATATTCTGCTGGTGCTGAGTGGAGTGTTTTGTGTGTGTCATGACGTTGTCGGGCAGTGAGCTTCTCACATGCATGTGGTGATGCTGGTGTGAACAGACCTCTGCTCTGCCAGCCAGACCTGCACGTGTATGTTCAAGTGTCATTATTCATTAACAAGTATTAAGAATGCACTTGTCTGTTAGCTAATGAATGGATATACACAGTGTGGTATATCCACACAATGAAAGGTGATTAAGCTGTAAAAAAGAATGCAGTGCCGATTCATACTATAGTGTGAATGAGCCCCGAAAACAGGATCTCAGTGAAAGAAGCCAGACACAAAGGCCGTATACTGTGTGATTCCATTTGTATGAAATACCCGTTGACAGGCAAGTCCACAGAGACCGAAAGTGGATTAGCGGTTGCCAGGGGCTGGGCAGGGCAGTGGGTGGTCGCAGGTGCAGGGTTTCTCCTGGGGTTGCCGGTGTGTTCTGAGTTCGACTGTGGTGATGCCTGCGTAGCCCTGTGAGTGTCCTAGAAGCCGCTGAATTGTGTGCTTAAGTGGGCAAGTGGTGTGGTGTGTGAGTCGTGTCTCAGGGCTGTCGAAGTTAGACGTGGTGTTTAACCATATGCAGGAGAAAATGAGTGAAGAGGTTAGAAACATACATACAGCAAGTTTCAATGCTTTTCTCCTGGGAGACTAGTAGGTCTATGATGATTTCCCCCTAATATATATATCTATACACACACACACACACTTCTCCATATTTCAGGAAAACCTCTCTTCCAGTTTTAATAACCAGGCAAAATTTATATTTAAAAAATCTAAGAAATAAAATCAGTGTTCTCCTTGTCACGCTTTAGTCAGAGTTCATCTTGACCTTTCCCACGGGAAAGCGAGCTGCTTCCCTCCGAGCACCGCCCGGGCCGAGAGCAGGACGCGGAGGCCGGTACTGAGGAGCTGGGCCCAGCTCTGGCTCCGGCCGGCAGCCCCAGCACTTGGGGAGGCCGAGGAGGGAGGATCGCTGGGGGCTGTGTGGGGCTGTGGTCGCACCACTGCCCTCCAGCCTGCGCGACAGAGCAAGGCCCTGTCTCTAAAACAATGAAAATAACAAAATGAAAAAGAAAATTGGAAAAAGATATTTATACACATACTAAATAAAGAGGGTTATGTTTCTATTTTGCAAAGATGCCTTATACATTAGTGAGAAAATATGAGTGGGCTGGACGGGTTGGCTCATGCCTGTAATCCTAGCACTCTGGGAGGCTGAGGTGGGCAGATCGTTTGAGCTCGGGAGTTCAAAAGCAGCCTGAGCAAGAGCGAGACCCCATCTCTACTAAAAACAGAAAGAAATTAATTGGCCAACTAAATATATATAGAAAAAATTAGCCGGGCATGGTGGCGCATGCCTGTAGTCCCAGCTACTCGGGAGGCTGAGGCAGGGGGATGGCTTGAGCCCAGGAGTTTGAAGTTGCTGAGAGCTTCGGGGCGCCCGGCTCGGGCGCAGGGACGTCCTGCCACAGGCGCTGGCGTCCTCTAGTCAGGTGGCGAGTGCGGGGCCACGGCGCGGCTTCCAGGGTGACTGCGTCCTCGAGGGACGTGGGGCCACTCCTGGGGGAGCTTCCCCGCTGGCGTCCACTGACGCAGGGCGGCTGCCGGTGGGGTCTCACCTCCCAGGAAGTGTTGTGCTTGCGGTGAAGGACCGATTGCACGCAGGCCACCTTCCGCGTTTGATTTAAGTAACTTAATTTCTGAAATTAGTGTGACTCACGGGTTTTTCTTTAGCATTTGAAAATAAAAATGTGTATGATTTGGGCGATTTATCCTGTAGCATGTTAAAGAAAAAAGTGACAGTCACTTTCTTGTTGAGTTTCAGGGAAAAATGTCGAGGCAGTGGAGTGACGTGTCCATCTCTTCCTCCTCAGCGTGGCGGTGGCGGTGCTGCGGGTGCTGGTCTTGACCGGCCGGATCCTGTTCTCGCTGGCCGCCGTCCTGCTCGTGTGTCTCGTCATGAAGACGTACCTCGTGGGACCGTACTACCGGCGGCTGCACGCGGAGAGCAAAGGGAACAAGGAAATCCTTATCCTGGGAATATCCGCCCTCATCTTCTTCATGTTGACGGTAATTCTCAAATCCTGCCGTTTGTGTGGTCTGGTCTGTCGCCCGCCTCCCTGAAAGCTTGTGATCAGTGGTTAAAATAGCTCAGGCTGGTCTCGAACTCCTGACCTCGAGCAGTCCGCCCGCCTCGGCCTCCCAGAGTGCTGGGATTACGTTCTGAAAGCAATGTTTGGTGTCCCATGATAACCGGGCGGTTAACGGTGCAGCGTCTGTTGCCGTCCGCATGTGGCGGGCTGGGAAGGCTCGCTGTGGCAAGCGGCTTCTCGCGGTGGCCAGGACGGGCTGGCCGTGCACGACCCTGAGAAGTGCCCTGGGACGCCGTGGGCGGGCGCGACAGCGACGTCCCCATGCGCTTTGTCACACAGCCCGGCCGCGGCACTGCGGGCGTTCATCCCTGAGAAGCGGCTGTGCTTCGGTGTGAGCACCTCCAGCCGGTGACTGTGAAACACGCGGCCCGTGCGGCCCGCATGGTGAGACCACGCAGCATGCGGGTGGTCTCGGCCATGTACCGCGTGGAGTAGCCGTTCCCTGGGCCGCGTTGCAGCACGCCACTGCGTGTCTGGGAGCCACGGTCCTGCAGGGTCTCAGGCAGCTGCGCGTGTCCCGTGTAACACTCAGCTCCCTCCAGGTCACGGAGCTGCTGGATGTGTCCATGGAGCTGGGCTGCTTCCTGGCCGGAGCGCTCATCTCGTCCCAGGGCCACATGGCCACCGAGGAGATCTCGTCCTACGTTGAGCCCATCCGGGACTTCCTGGCCATCGTCTTCTTCGCATCGATAGGTCGTCTTTCCTCTTCTCGTTACAGTCGTGTCTGTCATGTGCTTGCAGACTGGGTCTGTGATGTGTGTGTGCACGCTTACGTTTTATACAGCATAAAGTTATTTTAAAAACTAAGGTTGGGCTCGGTGGCTCAAACCTGTAACCCTAGCACTCTGGGAGGCTGAGGCGGGAGGATCACTCAACGTCAGGAGTTCAAGACCAGCCTGAGCAAGAGCGAGACCCTGTACCTACTAAAAAAGTAGAAAGAAATTAATTGACCGACTAAAAAAATATATATACAAAAAAACATTAGCTGGGCATGGTGGCGCATGCCTGTAGTCCCAGCTACTCGGGAGGCTGAGGCAGGAGGATTCCTTGAGCCCAGGAGTTTGAGGCTGCTGTGAGCTAGGCTGACGCCACGGCACTCACTCTAGCCCGGGCAATAAAGCGAGTATCAAAAAAAAAAAAAAAAAAAAATTAAATGTGTTCCACGTATCTCAATTTGGATTGCTAGTGGCCAGAAACTATTGCACATTTTTCTAGTGCGTGAGGAGAAATCTTATTTTAAAGGAGGGAAAAGAGGCCCCAAGCCCACGGATCAGTGGTGTGCGTCCCGAGTTGATTGGCGCTGAGGGGCACCGTGGGTGGGCACTGCGGTGGTGTAGCCACTCAGACTGACGCGTCAAAGTGGTAAGTTTTCAGGAAATACGAATTTTGACACAGAACCCTTAACTGGAGCAGGTCCAGGCTGCTGCTCTGGAAACCTCCGTGGTCAGGGTCTCTGGAGCAGCAGGCTGGAGAAGGAACTGGACAGCGGCAAAGTCACGTGGACGTCCGGTGCCACGGTCTCTGTCCACGCAAGCACGCCCGCCGTCCAAGACGCTCCCGCACCGGCCGCAGGTCCACAGACTCAGCGCAGCCCCTGCAAGACTGAAAACCGAGCAGCTGATTTGGAAACGCTCCCAAGTGGTGTGAGGGGCCCCTCAAATAGCCAAGATGGTCCCAGAGGGAAAGCCCGAAGTCGGGCGCACCCTGCACCAGGTGGAATAGGCCCTTCCACCGGGGATTTGGGAGCTAGAGATTCTTAGTATACAAGGTAGCGCCGTGCTCAGTGCGGCCTTTGCTGACATTTGACCTTCCTCTTGCTGTCCCTCCTCACCGTCCTCTCCCCGTGCCCCTCCTGACTCCCACGTCAGTCCACACCCCTGCTGACCCCAGCACCCCCCAGCTTTCCCCTGCTGACTCCCCTAGTCTTTGCTTCAAGTCTTTAACTCATTTTGATTTGATTTTTGTATTTGGTGAGAGATTGGGATCTAGTTTCACTCTTCCTAATATAGTTGTCCAATTTTTTTAGTACCATTTATTGAAGAGATTTAGTACCATTTAGTACCATTTATTGTCCTCATTGTTATGTTCTTGATGCATTTGTCAAAGATGCATTGGTTGTAAATGTGTGGATTTATATCTGGGTTCTCTGTTAGGTTGTGTTGGTCTGTGTGTCTGTCTTTATGCTAGTACCATGCTGTTTTGGTTATTGTAGCTTTTTAGTGTATTTTCAAGTCAGGTATTGTGGTGCCTCTAGCTTTGTTCTCTTTGCTCAGGATGGCTTTGTCTATTCTGGGTCTTTTGTGGTTCTATACAGATTTTAGGATTTTTTTTCTATTTCTGTGAAGAATGTTATTTCTTTGTATTTCTTGGTATTCTTGGTATTTGGATAGGGATTGCACTGGATCTATAAATTACTTTGGGTAGTGTTGCCATTTAACAATATTCTTCTAATCCACAAGCATGGAATATCTTTCTGCCTTTTGTATCATTTTCTATTTCTTTCATTATAGTTTTATACTTTTATTTGTATAGATCTTTCTCTTTGGTTAGATTGATTCCTTGGTATTTTGTATATTTTGTAGCTATTGTAAATGGGATTTCTTAGTTTCTTTTTCAGATTGTTAGCTGTTGGTGAATATAAGTGCCACTGATTTTTGTATGTTGATTTGGTATTTTGCTACTTTACTGAATTTCTGTATCGGTTCTAACATTTTTTTGGTGAAGTCTTTAGGTTTTTCTGGGTGTTAAGACCATGTCGTCTGCAAACAAGGCTAATTTGACTTCTTTCCTTTCCAGTTTGGATGTCATTGATTTCTTTCTCTTGCCTAATTGCTCTGGCCAGGACTTCTAGTATTATGTTGAATAAAATGGGTGAAAGTGGGCATCCTTGTCTTGTTCCGGTCCTTAGAGGAAAGGCCTTCAATATTTCTCTGTTAAGTGTGATATTAGCCATGGGTCTGTCATCTATGGCCTTTATTATTTTGAGGTCTGTTCCTTCTGTACCCATTCTGATGAGGTTTTTATGATGGAGGGCTACTGAATTTTAACAAATGATTTTTTGGCATCTGTTAAAGTAATCACATGGTTTTTGTCCTTGATTCTGTGGATATGAAGTATGTTTATTGATTTTCACATGTTGAACCACCCTTGCATCCTAGCATGAAGCCCATTTGATCATGGTGAAGGATCTTTTCAGTGTGTTGTTGAATTCTGTTTGCTGGTATTTCGTTGAGGATTTTTGTATCTGTGTTCATCTTGGCCTGTAATTTTTTTTGTTGTTGTGTCCTTGTCTGGTTCTGGTATCAGGGTTATTCTTACCTCATAGAATGAATTGCAAGTGTTCTCTCTTCAATTTTTTGAAGAATTTGAATAGAATTGTTACTAGTTCTTTGAATGCTTAGTAGAATTCAGTGGTGAATGCATCAGGTCCTGGGCTTTTCTCTGATTGGAGACTTTTTGTATTTTAAAGTTATTATTCTCCCCCTCCTACACAACTATTTTGTTTTTCTTTTATATTTTAAATTTATTTTTCTTTTTTATGTAATTAGAGATGCTTTCCTACAGCTGTGATCTCATTGCTTGTTATCGATTTGTTGAGGTTTTCTGTTTCTTCATAGTTCAATCCTGATAGGTTTTGTGTCTAGGAATTTATTAATTTCTTCTAGGTTTTCTAGTTTGTTGGCATTTAGTCATTCACCAAGGTCTCTCATGATGCGTTGTATTTCTAAGGTCTCAGTTGTTATGTCTCTTTTTTCATTTCTGATTTTATTTACTTGATTTTGCTCTTTTTTCCTTAGTCTATCTAAAGGTTTGCCAATTTTATGTTTTCAAAAAACCATCTTTTCATTTCATTGATCTTCTGTATTTTTTTTAGTTTCAATTTCGTTTATTTCAATGTTCTGCCACTGGGCAGACAGAGGGCCTCAGTGGGCGCCATGTATGTCCACGAGTGGTTTCCAAGTGAGCCGGTGGGGCCCCAGGAGTTGCCTCAGGAACACAGAGAGAAAAAATATTTAGGGAAAATGTTTCCTGTTGTTTTTCCAAATGTGTGAGCCAAACAAAAAAGGAAAAGGAATGTTGGCAACAAACGTCCCCTTGAGCGTGGCACCCGGTGCTGTCAGGCTGCACAGATGGGCTCAGGGCTCGTCTGCATCTCGGCTTGAACACTCCGTGGAGGGGAGCAGGCTGAGCGCCTCCAGGCAGCCCGTTGAGCCCTCTGCAGTGAGCCCTTGGAGGGCGGGGGCTGGGATTGCACCAGGACCCACGGGCTCGCTGCATTTGCTGGTCCTTTTATGAGAGCACTTGCAAGAATATGGGACTTTTTTTTGAGACAGTTTCACTTTGTCACCCCGGGGTAGAGTGCCATGGCGTCATCGTAGCTCTCTGCACCCTCAGACTCCTGGGCTCTAGTGATCCTCCTGCCTCTGCCTCCCCAGTAGCTGGGACTACAGGCACCACCAAGCCCGGCTAATTTTTCTCTTGTTGGCAGAGACGGGGGTCTCGCTGTTGTTCGGGCTGGTCTCAAACTCCTGAGCTCCAGCAATCTTCCCAGAGTGCTCGGATTGCAGGCGTTTAGTTCTTTCATTACAACGAGCTTCACGCACACTGAGGGCGCAGCCATGCCCTTGGGAGGTGGGTGTGACCTGGTGGGAGTGTGTTCCCAGGCTCGTGAGTAACCTGTCTGCCCTGTGTCCCAGCAGGGCTCCACGTCTTCCCCACGTTTGTGGTGTACGAGCTGACGGTGTTGGTGTTCCTCACCCTGTCGGTGGTGCTCATGAAGGTAAGTTGGGCCTGGTGGAGTCCATGGGCCTCTGGTCTCACGTGCTGCACGGCTGAGCCTCCTTCCTGGGGCCTGGTGTCCAGCCGTGAGCGCAGCATGTGTGGGGAGCCCAGGCTGCCCCGTGTTTGGGGAGGACCGTCCGCGGGGGCTCTGCCTCTCCCAGCCGCCTCCTGCCCACATCCTGGAGGAGGCTCTTGCGTGGCGGCTCGACCGCTGCAGGGAGGCAGGTGTGGGTCAGGCTCGGGGGCATGGTGTCAGTACCATCCGTTGTCTTGGAATCGCGGATGATGAAAATCGGGAATTCCCAAATGTTGTGATGGGAGAAAGTCCTTTCTGGATTGAGATATGCCCTTGGGTTGTGACTTGACCCTTGTGCCCGATGCCAGTGTAGGTTGTAAAGGCCTGAGACTGGCATCGGGCACTTTCCTTCTGTCTCTTCTCGGTGACCACAGACTGTCCAGTTGCCTGTGTGAGCGTGTAAGGTGTGGCTACCTGTTCAGTAGCCATCTGGCTTTCTGGATTGTGAAATTTGGCTTAAAATATTTCCATTTTAAGGAGTCACAATCTCTGGCAACTGTTGGGGTACCCCAGCAGCTCTGGGCTGCTTACACCAGAGACATGCATCTGTCTTATTTTTAAAATTTCCATCTTGGATGCTACGTAATAGTCAATATTTAATACTATTTGGGGTAAAGGCTTGTTTTCTGCTAATGAACCAAAATCCTGAGTCTGCCGCCTTCTGTGTGGACTTACTCCCGATACTTTGCACTGCACGGTGCCTTCTGGGCACCTGCCCTGCCCGTGTGTGTCAGCTATCCGGGAACCGCCGTGGCGTCCCGATGATGTCCGTCCGTGTCTGCTGTTGCGCGTCCGGCCGTGGCTGGGCCGTGCCGCGCCCGCGCCAACGCGGCGGCCGCTCTCGCAGTTTGTTCTGGCAGCGCTGGTCCTGTCGCTCGTCCTGCCGCAGAGCAGCCGGCACATCAGGTGGATCGTGTCCGCAGGCCTCGCCCAGGTCAGCGAGTTCTCCTTCGTGCTGGGGAGCCGTGCGCGGAGGGCCGGCATCATCTCCCGGGAGGTGAGTGCCCGCGCGTCCCGGCCGGCTCAGGGGTCGGCCCTGCGGGTGGGCGTGTGCCCGCGGGCCTCACAGCCCTCGAGGTCCAGGCCTGTCAGCGCAGCGCCCGGCCTGGCCTGGAGCCTCTGCCGTGGCGGGCGCGTGGGGGCCCACAGTCTCTGCCCACACGCACGGAATCCTGCGGACCGCGTTACCGGGTAGTCCTGCCGGAGCTCTCACAGTTACCTCTTACGAGAGTTAGAATCAGGGTGCTCTGATACCAGTATTCCCTGTGGAGAGAAAACTAATTTTTTTTTCTTTTTTTTTGAGACAGAATCTCACTCTGTTGCCCAGGCTACAGTGCCGTGGCGTCAGCCTAGCTCACAGCAACCTCAAACTCCTGGGCTCAAGCGATCCTCCTGCCTCAGCCTCCCGAGTAGCTGGGACTACAGGCATGCACCACTATGCCCGGCTAGTTTTTTCTATATATATTAGTTGGCCAATTAATTTTTGTCAATTTTTAGTAGAGATGGGGTCTTGCTCTTGCTCAGGCTTGTTTCGAACTCCTGACCTTGAGCAATCCTCCCACTTTGGCCTCTCAGAGTGCTGGGATTACAGGCTTGGGCCATGATGCCCAGCTAGAAAACTAATTGTTTAAAGCTCAGCTGCTGACTTGTGTATTAATAACATCTGAGAGACATGAAACACAAATGTGGGCTGAGGGCTCTATAAAAGCTACTGTTAACGAACAACACGCTGTGACATGCTGCACGCACAGGGTGAAACAGTTGCCCCTGTGTTCTGTGCATGGAGGGGGCAGGAGCAGCCTTAGCACTCAAGCATAGGGGATGTGGTCGATGCAGAGTGGATAGGCCCGACAGGCTCCACCGAGACCAGGCCGGGCTGCCGGCTGTGTGGCTCGGCGTGGACCTGTCTGCTCTGCAGCAGACGCAGGATCCGCCCCCAGGAAGCGCAGACTCCGGGACACGGCCCTGCGATTCCTCAGGGCTGGCCACGCCTTCCAGGAACTGTGCAGCGTCAGGCATCCACATCCAATGCTGTCTCACCTGTGGCTGTACCTGGGTGTGGCCCAAAATGTAGCACTGGACTTCTGGTTTGCGGGTGTAGCCTCTAATGTGCACCGTGCAGGTGCCCCTGCCGACCCCAGTGTGAACAGGCTGGGCCTCACACCGCGCAGGAGCCCCTGCCGACACCCAGTGTGAACACGCTCAGCCTCACACCGCGCAGGCGCCCCTGCCGACCCCAGTATGAATACGCTCTGCCTCACACTGCACAGGTGCCCCTGCAGACACCCAGTATGAACAGGCTAGGCCTCACACTGTACAGGCGCCCCTGCCGACACCCAGTGTGAACAGGCTGGGCCTCACACCGCGCAGGCGCCCCTGCAGATGCCCAGTGTGAACAGGCTGGGCCTCACACCGTGCAGGCGCCCCTGCCGACGCCCAGTATGAACAGGCTGGGCCTCACACCGTGCAGGCGCCCCTGCCGACGCCCAGTATGAACAGGCTGGGCCTCACACCGTGCAGGTGCCCCTGCCGACGCCCAGTGTGAACAGGCTGGGCCTCACACCATGCAGGCGCCCCTGCCGACGCCCAGTGTGAACACGCTTGGCCTCACACCGCGCAGGCGCCCCTGCCGACGCCCAGTGTGAACAGGCTGGGCCTCACACCGCGCAGGCGCCCCTGCCGACGCCCTGTGTGAACAGGCTCGGCCTCACACCGCGCAGGCGCCCCTGCCGACGCCCAGTATGAACAGGCTGGGCCTCACACCATGCAGGCGCCCCTGCCGACACCCAGTGTGAACAGGCTGGGCCTCACACCGCTCAGGCGCCCCTGCAGACACCCAGTATGAACAGGCTCGGCCTCACCCCGCGCAGGCGCCCCTGCAGACACCCAGTGTGAACAGGCTGGGCCTCACACCGTGCAGGCGCCCCTGCCGACGCCCAGTATGAACAGGCTGGGCCTCACACCGCGCAGGCGCCCCTGCAGACACCCAGTGTGAACAGGCTGGGCCTCACACCAGGCAGGCACCCCTGCGGACGCCCAGTGTGAATAGGCTGGGCCTCACACCGCGCAGGCGCCCCTGCAGACACCCAGTGTGAACAGGCTGGGCCTCACACCGTGCAGGCACCCCTGCCGACGCCCTGTGTGAACACGCTCGGCCTCACACCGCGCAGGCGCCCCTGCAGACACCCAGTGTGAACAGGCTGGGCCTCACACCAGGCAGGCACCCCTGCGGACGCCCAGTGTGAACAGGCTGGGCCTCACACCGTGCAGGCACCCCTGCCGACGCCCTGTGTGAACACGCTGTCTCTGTGTTGCAGGTGTACCTCCTGATACTGAGTGTGACCACGCTCAGCCTCTTGCTGGCCCCTGTGCTGTGGAGAGCTGCGATTATGAGGTGTGTGCCACGGCCCGAGAGACGGTCGAGTCTCTGACCGCGCGGAGCTGGCGGTGGACCCTGGGCCGGGACCTCGGCGGGCCGGGAGCACTGGCTGTCACACTCCCTTGGGCCTTCTTCCTTGGAACACAGGAACACCCAGCAAAGACACGGTTTCTCCTGGCTTTTGGGGATATTCCTGTCGAATCGTAGAATTTTCAGAGTAATTTATTCGTAGTTAGTTCATTATTCGCAGTAGAATTACAACACTGTATTTTACAAATCGCCTTGAATATTTTGCCTGGACGTGCCTTTTTTCTGAAATTATTATTAACTTTCTATTGTTAATTCATCAGTTCATGATTCTTTTGGTAAAGAAGAAAAATTAGCTTTTTTAATTTATTGTGCAGCTTTAGTATTTTAATCTGTTCATCAAATATTTGTTATTAAACATTCCTGTAAAATGAAATTTTAATTCTGGCATTGAGTTTGGAAACTTACTTTGATCCTTAGAGCTGTGTTTTCTAAAATGAGACAAATATAGATGCTTATTTGCCTTTTATTTTGACTATTTTAAATAAAATACTTTCCTGTCAATTTCTGTTAGGTGTAATCACTCTTTAAATATTTGGTTTTGAATCGTAAGAGTATGCATCCTTTGATAAAAATCATTGATGATTGGAGTATAATTAATTGAAATTTACTGAAGATCTGTTTTAGTAAGTTTTGTGTTGAGTTAATCTTTGCATAAAATCTCAGCCAATTTTTTTTATTAAGATGATTGCTACAGCACCATACTAATCTCTAAGAGGCCAATTATCACAATACTATTTGAAAAGCTTAAGTTCTAGCTTTTGGCATTTAAAGGAATATTTTGGCTTCATAAAGGTATATAACATGCCCTGTTTTAGAGAGCCATCCAGATGAAGATCTGAGTAAGAGGGTTCGGAACCAAATACTTGAAACTGGGTGATTTATAAAGAACCAAAGTTTTTTCTCACAGTCTGGAGGCTGCAAGTCCAAGCGCAGGGTGCTGGCAGGTTAGGGCCTGGTCTCTCCGCTGCGTCCTCAGTGGGCTGGCGCCCGGGGTCCTCGTGGGGCGTCGTGGGGGAGCGGCCCCTCCTCATGCCGTGCGTGGGGCCAGGACACCTGCCCTGGACCTCGCCTCCCGCCCCTGTTCTGGGGAGTAAGTTCATTTTTTTGTTCTTTTGAGACAGAGTCTCACTCTGTTGCCCAGGCTAGAGTGAGTGCCGTGGCGTCAGCCTCGCTCACAGCAACCTCAAACTCCTGGGCTCAAGCAATCCTCTTGCCTCAGCCTCCCGAGTAGCTGGGACTACAGGCATGCACTACCATGCCCGGCTAATTTTTTCTATGTATATTAGTTGGCCAATTAATTTCTTTCTATTTATAGTAGAGACGGGGTCTCGCTCTTGCTCAGGCTGGTTTCAAACTCCTGACCTCGAGCAATCCGCCTGCCTCGGCCTCCCAGAGTGCTAGGATTACAGGCGTGAGCCACCGCGCCGCCCAGCCGGCCCGAGAGTAAGTTCCGATGTGTGCCTGGGAGAGAGAAACGTTCAAACTGTAGCAGCTACATTGTTGTGTTTTTCTATGGCACTCGTTTTTTTAATAGACAGATAAAATTGAACTTACTTATTGTGTACAACGTAGCAGGTACTCTAAACCAGTTTTTCTGTAAATACAGGTTTTAAGAGCCTAACAATTTGACGAAAATGCTTAAGACAGAGGATGGGAAATGCCAGGTGTAATCATGTATTGCACATGCAAATTGTGGGCTGCACTGACATAAACTGAAACACTTTGAAGTAAATTGTGTCTAGTGTGAAGCAGATTAACGGAGAAATGATACAGACGTGCTTATTTTTAGAAAACAGCATCATGCTTATTTGTTTCTAAATGACACCAGTCTCGCGGCACCATTTCCCCGCCGCTTTGCTGGGTGTGTTTGGCGTAGCTGGCGAGTGAGCCGGGCCTGGGCACGCTGCCTGTCTGGCGCCAGCGCCGCGGCTGTGCCACGGTGCTCTTGCACCTGGCACGCGGCCTCTCCCGGTCCCGGCCTTCAGGACTCTGGGCTGGGGACGGGGCTTTCCTTTTGCATCTGCAGCCCCTGTGCCCACCAGGAGCTTTCGTTCTGTTGACCTGAATGAATGACACCTCTTGGTGAGGGACGAGCAGGTCCTCCCGGAACGTGCATTAGCGTCGCCCTGTGAGATGATAATTCTGTGAAGAGGCTCGGCTCCATGAGCCCCTCCCACGCCATCCGCACGGCCACCTCTGCCAGAGTCCTCGTCTGCACACTCACTCCGGCCAAGCCCGACCTCGCCACCTGGTTGCTTCCCACCCAGACTTCCGGGGGGCGCCGGCCTCTCCTCCGCTCCCGGCCGAGCCCTCGGCCTGCCCTGCCAGCCCCAGGGCCTGAGCGCAGAGCACGTCAGTGTCTCGGGAGAGGAAGCGGGAAGCTCAGGGTCAGGAGAGTCTCAGTGTAGACGGCTTGTGTGTGTGCACACACTGTTCTTCGGTTTCCTCGGGGGATGGGACCAGGACCCTCTGCAGACACGGAAATCCACAGGTGCCCTGGCACCCATAGAGAACGGTGCAGTATTTGCACGGGGCCTCCACACACGCCCTCCCACGCACATCTCTGGAGTACTGACAACAATGTAAATGCTGTCTAAGTGGTTGTGACACTGTATCGTTAGGAAGTAACAACAAAGAAGTCTGTATGCCTGCAGTGCATACGCAGCCATCTTGGTCCAACTACATTTTCAGTCCAAGGCTGGTTGAATCCACAGATGTGGAACCCAGAGATGAAGGGTGACTATACCACGTTCTGCGAACATGCCCTGTTACTATGACTGTCTCATATTGAGCCATCTTTACGTTCCTGGAGTAAATCTCACCCGGCCATAGTATAATCTGATGAAAGACACGAACCTATAAATTCAGGAAGCCCAATGAACTTCGAATAGGATAAACTCTAAGAGACCCACTAGACACATAATCAGACTCAAAAGACAAAGTGAATTTTGAAACCAGCAAGAAAGAGGTGATTTGTCCTTTACGAGGACCCTCAATGGTGCCAACATCAACTTCTCATCACAAGCCCTGGAGGCCAGAAGGCGGGGGCAGGACACATTTGAGGTGCAAGAAAAAGACAAAACAAAAAAACCTCTGCCAGTCAAAAATTCTATAATGTATCTGAAAAACTGTCCTTCAAAAATAAGAGAAATATTAAGATATTCCCTAGATAAACAAAAGCTCAAGGGGTTTGTTACCACCAGACCAGTCCTACGAGAAATGCTAGAGAAGTCCTTCAGGTTGAAATGGACGGACACTGGAAGGAACCACGTGAGGGAATAAAGATCTTTGGTGAATACATGGGCAAATATAGAAGCCAAATTATTGTATTTTTGGTTTGTAACTCCTCCTTTCATTTCCTACATGACTTAAAAGATAAATACATAAGAATAATTAGAAATCTATGTCATTGGGTGGAACATGTATAAAGATGTCAATGGGTTAAACTCACCACCAATCAAAAGACATAGATTGGAAGAATGGATGAAAACAAAGTTTCCATGTGCTGTCTACAGAAGACTCACGTTGGATCTGAGGACTCTCACAGGTTGAAAGTGAGAGGATGGAAAGATATATTCCACGCAAATAGTAAATGAAAGAGCAAAAGTGGTTGCACTCATGTCAAATAAAACAGACTGTCCCAAGAGACAAAGAGGGATATTATATAAAAGGGACAATTTATAGAAGGGCCAATTCATCGAGATGATACTGGCGATGATAAACACGTATGCCCTGAACACCAGATCTTCCACGCACACAAATCCGACTGACACACTGAAGGAGAAACAGGCGTCTCTGCCGTGCGAGGGACATCAGCGCCCACTCTGGTACCGGGCAGGGCAGCTGGGCGGGAGTCAAGGAAGTCTTGGACGCCACGCCGTGCAGCTGGACTTCACAGGCATGTGCAGAGCGCTGCACAAAGCAACAGCAGACACACATTTTTCTCAAGTGCACACGGAGCATCCTCAGGATCTGGTCCCTGGAGACACCTCCTACACTCCGTGAGACAGCAGCGCCTTGAAGAGTGAGTCTCGCTTGGAGTCTGTTTACTGCGGTGCTTCCTCCTTACTCATCACCCCAGAAAGCAGGTCGGCTCATTGAGGAATTCTAGGCAGGAAGTAGCATGATCTCATTTGCATTTTCACCCGCCGGGGGCCCTACCTCTCATGCCACCGCTGCGGCGGGCAGCGCTTCGCACGTGGGCCGTGGGGACGTCAGAGGGCCGCGGCCCCCACGTGGCAGGACATCTGGGGGGGGGGCTGTCTGGGAGGGGACATGATGAGTCGCACAGGTGACACTTTGAGGATTAATCTCACTGCCCAGTGCCTCGCAGACAGGCCGTGCTCATCGACGCTCCCACACGGGAGATGCTACATGGCTTTCCCTTAAGGAGTCTGTCCCAGCCAGGGTGGCCCTGGGCCGGGAGGAAGCCTGCCTGCAGGAGCCGGGAGGGCAGCCCAGAGGGAAGTCTGCCGAAACGCTAGTGAGGCCGCTCTGCAGAGATGTGCAGGCTGCATGAGAGAAAAGGCGATCCGCCCTCCTCCTTCCCGCTGGCCTCGGGAGGGGAGTCACTTCCGGCAGACTCAGTGGTGCCATCTCCCTCTCGCCCCTGCTGCTCCTACCACCTGTTCCCCCAGCCGCCCTCCTCCCCGCCCCCTGCCCACGCTCCTCCCTGCCACAGACGCGCAGGCCCCTCGGTTCCCACGCCCCCTCCCCGCCCCCTGCCCACGCTCCTCCCTGCCACAGACACACAGGCCCCTCGTGTCCCCACACCCCCTCCCCGCCCCCTGTCCACGCTCTTCCCAGCCTCAGATACGCAGGCCCTCGTGTCCCCACACCCCCTCCCCGCCCCCTGCCCACGCTCCTCCCAGCCACAGACACGCAGGCCCCTCGTGTCCCCACACCCCCTCCCCGCCCCCTGTCCACGCTCTTCCCAGCCTCAGACACGCAGGCCCTCGGTTCCCACGCCCCCTCCCCGTCCCCTGCCCACGCTCCTCCCCACCACAGACACGCAGGCCCTCGTGCCCCACACCCCCTCCCCGCCCCGTCCACGCTCCTCCCAGCCACAGACACGCAGGCCCCTCGTGTCCCCACGCCTTCCCTCCAGGCCATTGTCCCAGCCCTGCCAACAGCTGTGCCCACGCTCCCCGCAGGGGCTCCGCTGGCCTGCCCTGCAACATGGCTGCATCCCTCACCCACCTGCAGTCCCGCCTTCCCCTGGTCCCGCACCCCGGCTGTGCCCCTGCCGTGGAAAACACGTCCCTTCCTGGCTCTGTACATCATCCGTCTGCGCCCGGCGCCCACCATCCACGCCTTCTTCTCACCAGCAGAGGAGGGATCTTCCCTGTGCCTGGCAAGGACCTGACTGCCGCACACAGGCCTCACCTGGGCAGAGGGTGGTGGGTGACTGGCCAGCTGGAGGGCCGGCACCTGCTGGAAGCCACCCCGTCCCCAGGCCGGAGGAAGCGGGTGGGGACCCTAATGGAGCTGGCGAGGTGGGCAGGAGGGGCCCGGCGGGAAGAGGGCAGGCGACACCCCAGCTCCCTCCTTGCGCCTTCCACTGGTGAGTCTGGTGGATGAGAGGGTCCCTGGGACGGGGCGAGGGAGGGCAGCGCTGCAGGGCGGGCGGGGTGGCGGCCAGGACTGTGGCTCCAGCTGCGCCCCCATCCCTGCCTGAGCTCTCCCCTCGCCTCCCGTCCCTGGGGTCCCAGACGTCTTGAGCCTCCAGAGCTTCCGGGCACCAGGCACAGCCGACCCTGAGCACATTTGGCATCCCACGTACATGTCACTCCCACCCGGAAGGCGCCTGTCACTCCGATGTCTGCCCCTCCCCTGGGGTGCTCTGTGGCCCAGACACCAGAGTGGCCATACCCGACATCCCTCTCTAACGCTGTCCGGTGGCCTGTGGACGCCCGGCCTCCTGCCAGGTGCACTCAGGAGCCCTGACGCAAATCCTGCGTGTCGGGGCCACTGGCACCTGAGCGACTCCTGGCGTTAAGGAAATCGCCCTCAGTAGGTATTGGTGGGCACAGCCCACCTCGGACTCCCAAGATGCAATATTCCCGCCTCCCCCTTCACTCCACGCTGCCACGGTGGCGCCAGGCCTCCCGACCCTTGCGGGAAGGGGCCCGCTTGCAGCCCTGGCCTGGGCAAGGCAAAGGCATCATGTGTAAGCAAAATGTTTGTACCCAACAATATTCCAGGAAAAAAAAAAGACTTTCTTCATGTAAAACAGAGCACAAACCATTTCCATGTGCTGCGTGAGCCCTGTAGGCGAACCTGGCGCCCACACGCATGACATGAGACCATTGAGGCCCCAACCTGTCCATGCTGACAGCAGCATCCGGATGTGGGTCAGGTGAGCACTGGATTGGGCCTGTCGTTGAGAGAATGTCCTGAGCGGCCTGAGCCTAGGACACACCCGCAGGCCACAGGCCCAGACATATGCTGGTGGGGCTGTGCTCCAGGGTTCCACATCCAGTCCGGAGATTTCTAGGCAGGGGTGGCCAAACGTGTTTGAGTCTTCACTCAGAAACTTAGAGCTCTGTTGTTGGCTTTTGTGAATATAGAAACAGGGGCTTTCTGTGGGGTGTGCGGCTCTGGGGTAGAAAGGAGTAACAGAAAGGAGTAACTTCCACCCTCTTCCCAAGCAGCAGAGCCTCAGCTACTTCAGAGTATTTCACTACAGTGATTTCTGTGCAGAAATTACTCTGAATAATATTAGTTGCCAACCTGTATAAATATCATGGAACCACCAGAATCTCGAGCTTGTGGGAAGGGGTTTAGGATCCTGTGCTCTGACTCCGAGTTTGTGTCCTAGCTCCGAAGCCCCCGGGGCTCAGGGAGAGGCCAGGCTGCACTTGCTCCGAGGGCGTGGGGAGGGGCCGACCGCTGCTGTCAGGGGTTGGACATTAACATTTAGTAAAAAATAAAGATTTCCTGAGAAAGAAAAGGAAGAGCTAGGAACACAGGTGCATTTGAGGAACCACATGAGGGCTGTGTGTTTGGAATTCCAGGGCACCTGCCAATGGTCATACATGGCCCCCTGCAAAGAACAAGGTCCTCCCAGGGACAGAATCCGTGGGACTCCTCTAGGGGCCTTGTGTTCACACCTGCCACCCGCCAACGTCCTTCCTCTAAGTAGCTGCTGTGACAACAGCATTCGGAATGGGGACCTTCCTGCTTGCCTTCAGAGAAGAAACCAAGCTAATTAAATCATTAAATCGTATGCAGTTTGAGATAGAGGAGAGCTCCAGGGGGCGGAGCTTTACCAGAGGGCTGTAATCAGCATAAAAGTGGCCGAACTGTGGAACTGTGCAAAGTGGGGTGTCCGGCACAGAGAGAGGCCTTTGGTATGTGCCCCCCAAAGTCCTTTGCAGACGCTGACTGTGCCTTGCTTTCTGGACGCTGCCGCCCGAGGCAGCCCTGAACTTTGGCCTGGGCTCCGGAGGCCTGGGCCGCCCTCTGCCGGGCTTTCTCGGGCTGGTGTGGGCTCCAGGTGGTGTCTCCAGGACTTGGGCCCACCAGGCCTGCCCTGCAGCTTCCCCTCCCCGCTGCGGGGCTTCGCGCCCAGGGCCCTCCGGGGCTGAGTCCAGCAGGCACCCAGGACGCCAGGAATGGCTGGGAGTCCAGACAAAAGTGGGGCGTGGGCATGGAGGCCACAGGGCCCAGCAGGGCCAGGGGCCTCCATGCGACGAGCGCACACACTCCATCTCCTGTCCTCTGTGTGTTCACATACACATGACACCTACACCCAGCAGGCCCCTTTGCTCCTGCAGGTGTGCACACACACACACACTGCCCACCTCTCCGTGCGCCCACTCAGACAGGCGCACACTCACGTGTGCACACAGAGGCATGCACACAGCAGCCCACCTCTCCTCCGTGCACACATGCACGCGTGCACACACACTTTCAGAGGCATGCACACAGCCACCCACCTCCCCCCTGTGCACATACACACACAGGCGCGCATCCCCAGGGCCCTCTGGCCTCCGGGGGCGCACACTGCGCGCGCACAGCCCCTCTCCTTGCCCAGCCCGCCGCCATCCCCGCCCGGCGCACGCGCACATACGCACACGCGCACACGGCCCCTCCCGCTCCCCGGGGCGCGCAGCGCTGGCGGGAGGAGCAGAAGCCCGCGGAGCCAGAGGAGGAGGAGGAGGAGGGCGCCGAAGGCGCGAAAAGGCGCGCAGGCGCGCTGTGCGGAGCGGGCCCGCCGCCGCCCACGTCACCGCGCCGCGCGCACGTCACGCCGGCCCGACGCTCGGCCAGGGTGAGCCCCGCGTCCCGGCGCCGCTCGGCCCAGGGCAGGGACCCCGCCACGGCCGGGACGCCTGCCCGGCCCCCACCCGGCGCCTCCCCGCGCCCGCGTCCGCCGTCTGGCCCTGCCCAGCCCGGCTCAGCCCCAGCCCGCGCGGCCAGGTGCGCGCGGGCGGAGGATGCAGGCGGGTCGGGACGGGGGGCGCGGGCACGGGCCGGCGCGGGGTGCCCCGGCCTCCCAGCCTGTGTCCCCGCCGCGTGCGGGCGCCGCGCGGCCCCGGCCCCTGCCCTCCCGTGTGCGCGCGCGCTCCTGGGCCCGCGCCCGCGCTGCTGCGGGGCCAGGTGACTGGCGGGCGCGGGTCCTGGGCCCGCCCTGCCCACCGCAGAGCCCGCGCCACAGGCCGGGTTCCTGGGTCCGCTGAGCGCAGGCCAGGCCGGGGAGGCCGCCCCCGCGGGGACGCGGTTCGGGCGCGCAGGAGGCGCCGCGCGGGCGGCCTGAGGCCTGGTGACAGGTCAGGGCGGGCAGGGCCCCGGAGCCCACCTGTCCCCTCCTTCCGGAGGCGCGGGGATCTGCGGGGGCCACTGTGCCCGGGGCACGGGTCTCCAGCCGCGTCCCGCGTGGCCCCCGTGTCCAGCGCGCTGGCCGGGGTCCTGAGACGCGTGACATCCTCACGGGGTGCTGGGCCCTGCCACCTGTGGGCGCCGGCGGCTGGGGTGGGCAAGCTTCGGTAATTTTTAAACTTTTTTTATTCTTACTCATTTGTTTTTCCTTTCTTTTTACCAGGAAAATCATTTTCTTCTCTGGAGGGGGGACGTTCATAGCACGATTTCCCGGATCTGGTAACATGGCAAAAGATGTAAGTGTGTCCGCGCGGCGCTGCTTCCTGCCCGCATCCCGCTGTCCTCAGACTGCAGAGCAGGGTGGAGGGGACAGGCCTGGAGCCACCTGGCGCCCTGAGCAGGTGCCCGCTGCACGCAGGTGCTGCTGTGGCCATGCTGCTCTGACTGGTCTTAATTTTCCTGACTGTGCCATACTCACAGTTCTGGGTACACTGTGGGGAGATGGGGGTGCACAGCCCGAAGAGGGTCTGGTTGCAGAGGGGACATCTCTGGGGAGGGGGCGCGGGGCCAGCACCTGCCTCCCTGCAGAGGAAGCCTGGGCGTTGACCCCCAAGTACTCAGCACGTGTCTGGCCACTTCTTTCTCAGGAAGGTGACATTTGGTGACTAATGAAATGTGGTGAAACTGCCAGTTCACTTACCTGTCATGAAACTATACAACATCCTGAATAATTTTCTAACTTGTGTGGAGAAACAGGCTTTGGGGTCCAGCAGAGCAGTCTGTTCTATTGGTCATGTAGTTCTTGACGGCAGGTAAACTCGTGGAACGCTGCCTTTACCGGTTAGCGTGTCTCAGAGTGCTGTGTTCTGTGAACAGGGGCAGGGGAGGGTGTTGACTGCTCACTTACTTGTCACACGGAGTTGGCAGGAAACCCAGGCCAGGCGTGCGGCGTCTGCCCAGATACAGGCAGAGCTGGTGACAGCGTGTCCAGTAGGAGGTCAGCGTGTCCATGGGTGTGAAGGCTTGGACAGGTCCTGGGAAGCCTCACTGTGTCCCCGACGTCACACGACACCCGTCCCCAAGCACGCGGGTCCTCTGCAGAGGGAGCATGAAATGAACACAGGTGGGCCCTGTGCAGTTTTAAGTCGAAGTCTTCATCTGAGTGTGGCATCGCTGGCTTTGGCGTTAGGCGTGCGTGCTGGGCCGTGTTTCAGCCCCGTGCCGCGCCAGGCTCCGGCAGTGCTGAGCATGAAACCATGGGTGCCCTTTCCCTGGAGCATGTGGCCCAGCACCTGTCAGAGCGTGGCTCTGGCCAAGCAGGCTGCGGTACTTAACTGACAGCGTCTCGGAGCCCTCTTTCGTTCTCGTCCATTTAGTTGGCACCGTCTGTGTGCCCCGCCCCGTGTGAGGCTGGTGGCATGCGCAGGCCAGCGGTCAGTCTGCAGGAGGAGGACCTGAATGTCCCTCCCTGGAGCTGGCAGGGCGGCTGTGGTCTGGGACGAGGCAGGCTGGGAGTCCCACGGCACATGGCAAGGCGGCGGTGGGCAAGGCAAGTCCCCCAGGGTGGTGGGCAGGGCGGGTCCCCCAGGGCGGTGGGCAGGGCGGCTGGGCCCGCTGGACATGGTAACGCCAGCAGCCCTTTGTGGGAGGGAGCCCAGTGCACAGGTGAGGGTTCCCAAAGCGGGAGAGTGGCAGGGAACTGAGGTGGCCATGGAAGCACAGTGCCAGGGTGGGTGCTGGGCCTGCGGGTGAGGGGTGGGCTGCGACCCTGCTGGCAGGGCCCTGGGCAGAGCCCCGAGTAGACGAGGACTCACCCAGCGGCTGTTACTGGCTATGAGGGAAAGAGGCCGTTTCGGCGACCCCGAGTGCGGCCAGCAGGTGGGAGGTGCTGGCAGGTGTCTGCACTGGAGGGGGTTGGAGGCAAGGGGAGCAGGTGGGGATGGCTTGGCAGGTGTCATCTCGAATGGCAGGGTGGGGCCACTGGCAGGGTGGGGCCACGGGTGGGGGTCATGTGACAGCAGCTGGATGGGTGCTGAGGTGCGAAGGGCAGTGAGGAGGGTGGGTGGACATGGTGGAGGACAGTGGGCAGTGGGGGTGGGGCGGGTGGACAACTAGTGGGTGGGGGTGGAGTGTGGGCAGCAGGGATGGACAGTGGGTAGAGGGGGTGGGGTGTGGGCAGCAGGGGTGGGTGGTGGGCAGTGGGGGTGGACGGTGGGTAGCGCTGGTGGGCAGTGGGGGTGGACATTGGGTCGTGGGGGTGGGGTGTGGACAGTGAGTAGCAGGGGTGGGTGGTGGGCAGTGGGGGTGGACAGTGGGTTGCAGGGTTTAAGTGTGGGCAGCAGGGGTGGGGTGTGGACAGCAGGGGTGGACAGTGGGCAGTGGGGGTGGACACTGGGCAGCAGTGGTGGACAGTGGGTTGCAGGTTGAGGTGTGGGCAGTGAAGGTAGACAGTGGGTTGCGGGGTTGAGGTGTGGGCAGCAGGGGTGGGGTGTGGACAGCAGGGGTGGACAGTGGGCAGTGGGGGTGGACACTGGGCAGCGGGGGTGGGGTGTGGACAGTGAAGGTGGACACTGGGCAGCAGGGGTGGACAGTGGGTTGCGGGGTTGAGGTGTGGGCAGTGGGGTGGGGTGTGGGCAGTGAAGGTGGACACTGGGCAGCGGGGGTGGACAGTGGGTTGTGGGGTTGAGGTGTGGGCAGTGGGGATGGACATTGGGTAGTGGGGGTAAGTGGTGGACAATGGGGGTAGACATTGAGTAGTGGGTGGTGGGCAGTGGGGGTGGACATTGGGTAGTGGGGGTGAGTGGTGGGCAATGGGGGTGGACATTGAGTAGTGAGCGGTGGGCAGTGGGGGTGGACGTTGGGCAGCGGGGGTGGGGTATGGGCAGTGGGCATGGACATTGGGTAGTGGGGGTGGACATTGAGTAGTGAGCGGTGGGCAGTGGGGGTGGACGTTGGGCAGCGGGGGTGGGGTATGGGCAGTGGGCATGGACATTGGGTAGTGGGGGTGGGCAGTGGGCAGTGGGGGTGGACATTGGGTAGCAGGGGTGGGGTGGTGGGCAGTGGGGATGGGTGGCGGGGGTGGGGTGTGGGCAGCAGGGGGTGGGGGTGGGGTGTAGGCAGCAGGGGTGGACACTGGGTAGGAGGGGTGGACGGTGGGCAGCGGGGTTTTACTCTGGGCCTCCCCGCACTGGTGTACCTTGGTCCGTCGTGGCCAGCTGCGCTGTCCCTGTTCTCTACGGGCCGTCTCTGCTGCCAGGCAGAGACTCCTGGCTCGAGGGATCTGGCCCGGCCTCTGAGCAGCTGGGACGTATGTCCTCCCACCGTCCCTGCAGAGCTGTCTTTTCACAAAGACCTGAAAAGTAGAGTTTTCACCTCCTGATACGGATGTAGCTGCCGGGCCTGGTCGCAGACTTCTCGCCGGAGCAGGGCAGGAGCACCTGGAGCTTTGGAAATCTCACCTCCTCTGCTCTGCGTCCGTGTGCTCTCTCTCTGGTGGCCTGTGTTCCAGCGTGGGCTGCCCTGCTCCGATGACATCAGCTGTGGTGTGGGGCGTCTTGGGGATTCAGAGAAGGGGTTCGAGGTGAAGTTGGGAGCCCAGCAGGCAGAGTGGGACGAGCCTGAGGGCTTGAATGGATGCTGGTGTGTGTGTGTGTGGGCCCTGGTATATACTATAAATCTTACGTCCTTTTTGTTTCTAAAACAAGTTATTTGCATATTTTGAAAAAAGGTATCTAGAGGAGACACTACGATTTTGTTGTGTGAAAGAAAAAGACCCCACATTTTCCAGCCAATGAAAATAATCTCCATTCCTTGGTGCTGAGCAGGGAACCTTCCATTTAAACTGGTACCAAGTACCTGTAAAACGCCCGCAGGAAGCAAGAACATGGCTGCCGTGAGCACGTCTCCGTCACGCTGGCTGGGGACAGTGGAGGGAGAAACTGAGGCAGCTCCCTAGGGCTGCACCGGGCGGGGCCTGCCCGGGCAGTGGTGGGGTGAGGGGTGCAGTCTCTGCCCTCCGGAATGAGAGCCTGGGTTTCTGCCTTTACATTTTGTTTGAGATGAACTGGTACACGCTCGTGGTGACAGGTTCCAGGGAGCGCTGGCACTCGCACGCCGCACGTGGCAGGAGAGAGCGGGGTCGGCAGCGCAGAAGCCCGGGGCCGCACTCGTCTCACCACGGCCACTATGGTGGTGCTCGGGTCCCTCCAGATGTTTGGCACGGGACTGTTGGCTGCTGTCGGCATCTCGGGGCAGCAGACACCCTGGGGGTCCTGAGCTGTCACCCAGGGAGCACGTCCTTCAACTGTGAGCGCGGATGGGGTGGCCGTGGCTGGTGACTGGTTGCCAAGCTGGCTGGTGCTCAGAGCCACCTTGGGTGCACGTCCTGGAGAGGGTCCTGGAGTCCTCAGTGTCAGCCGGTCTCGGGCCTGGGGCCGCTCCACCGCAGGGGTCCTGGGGTCTGTAGCTGGGCTGGCGGGGCCCAGCAAGGGCGCCTCAGCTTCCAGCGGAGTGTTCTCGCTGCCAGGAAAGACGTGGCCCTCTCCGTGGTCAGGCGTGGCCACATCCCTCGGAGGTCCTGTTCTTGCACGTGGCTGTCCGGTGTCATGGAGGTTTGCGAGTGGAAGGGGACGTGTGCGGCGCATTCCTGAGATGTTGCAGGGATGCCTTTGCCGAGACACTGGGGTGCGGCTGCTGTGGGGACTGTTCCTGGGGCCCTGCCCTCACCCCAAGGTCTCCATGCCCTTTGTGGGGAGTCGGCAGACCCGGCATGCGTGTCAGCTGCGCCTGCTTGGCGTCCCCAAGGAGAACGTGGCGTGTCAGCCCCCCTGATCGGCGTCACATCCCTCGGCTTTGAGAGCCGCTCCGTGATGCCACTTTGTGACCTGTGAGTTTATGGAAAGTCCCCGAGGTGCACTGTTGCGAGCCGGAGGCCACAGAGACGAGTCCCGTCCTCTGAGCTTCCAGGAGATGCTGTCATGAGGCCGACGGCAGCGCCAAGAGGAGTCTAACGACCGGCTCTGAAAATGCACGCACCGAATGTCCCTTCACAGGCTGGCGTGCGGCTGTGGGGACGCGAGTCTGGGACAGGCACGGATTTGCTGGCTCAGTGCCGCCCGCCCTCAGCCCCACAGAGGCGTCCTCGTGCCCGACGTCGGAGGCCGGCGAGCCGGTGTGCTGCTGCGTGAGCCTGGAGAAACCTGCGGGGTGCGCTTGTTGGCATGGCAGGATCTTCACGTTCTGGAACTAATTTTTTTCTTCGTGTGATGAAACTGGAAACGTTCTGAGATGACATTCAAAATAAAGAATTACAGCTTAATTAAAAGTTTTGCCCCTGTAACATCTTGCTTTTTTTTTTTTTTTTTTGTAGAAACAGGGTCTCACCCTTGCTCAGGCGGGTCTTGAGCTCCTGAGCTCAAACGAACCTCCCGCCTCAGCCTCCCAGAGTGCTAGGATCACAGGCGTGAGCCACCGGGCCCCGCCCCAAAACATCATGCTTTAAAAGGGGTGTTATATGAATACCTGGCATAAAATTCAAAAGATAAGGATATCTTTTGTCTTACAGAACAACTCTTTTTAGTGCTTTACTTTAGGCGTCTGATTAAGTGACTCCTACAGTTCCTGGTACAGCAGGTAGAAACTGCGCCTTGGTGTGACACGCAGCAGACTCGAGTGTGACCGTCAGCTGTTCTTTGGGGCAGTGGTCCTCAGCTTTTGTGGCACCGTGTCTGGTTTCATGGAAGACGGTTTTCCATTGCGGGGTGGAGCTCGGGTGGTGATGCCTGCAGTGGGGAGGGGTCCCTCACCTGCCACTGCCTCCAGCTGTCACAGTCCCCTCTGTTTCCTGAATTTCACGGAAGACGGTTTTTCCACGGCAGGGAGTAGGTGGAGCTCTGTGGGCGGGTCCCTAATGGGCTTTGGACCAGGGCTTGGGGACCTTGCTTCACATAATTAGCTGTTTTAAAAAACTCTTGACTCTTTTTTGAGACAGTCTCACTCTCTTGCCTGTCCTAGAGTGCCATGGCATCAGCCTAGCTCACAGCAACCTCAAACTCCTGGGCTCAATCGATCCTCCTGCCTCAGCCTCCCGAGTAGCTGGGACTACAGGCATGCACCACCGTGCCTGGCTAATTTTTTATATTCTTTAGTTGTTTGGCTAATTTCTTTCTATTTATAGTAGAGACGAGGTCTCACTCTTGCACAGGCTGGTCTGGAACTCCTGAGCTCAAGCAATCCCGCCTCAGCCTCCCAAAGTGCTAGGATTACAGGCGTGAGTCACCGTGCTGGCCAAAATTCATTCTTGGGACTTAAAAAAACTTTATTTTTCATTGTAGAACGGTCGAAAAATTCACATTTAGAACTGATATTTAGCTTGACTTGCAGTGCATGAAATTGTTTTTGCTTTATTGTAAAGGACTAGATTTCTCAGGTTTTGCTCAGAGAACGGGCGGCAGCAGCTTAGACTGCGCTGGGTGGGCGGAGCCAGCATTGACCAGTTGGGCCAGGTGGCCCTCACCCACGTCCCTCTAGCTGGGCCAGGTGGCCCTCACCCATGTCCCTCTAGCTCAGGTGACGGTCGTCGTTGTGGTGTTGGCCAGAAATTGTCGTCCACGTCTTCGCACACAGCACAGGCCTTGCCAGCGCCGAGACTGCCGTGCGGATGCGCGTGGCCTTTGGGTTGTGGCGCAGCCCGTGGACTCTGCCCAGATGCACTGTGGGCCTGGAGTTGTCGTGTGAACTTGAGTCTCTGCTCGTCAAAACACGTGCCCGTTTCCAAGGGAATGTGGTCCGACGGAGTGAGTGCCCACGAGTCCCTGTGGTCCCGGGATATGCGCAGGCGCCAGCCCGTGCACCTGGCCTCCCACTAAGCAACGTCAGCCAGGGCCTGAGAAGAGGAAGCGGGTGAACAGCGCGCTGGACGGTGAGCGAGAATCTGGCGTTCCCGGAGGTGCCCCCGCCCCCGCTCCCACGGCTGAGTCGTGCCTGTTGAGCTTGTCCTCGGCGCTGGCTTCAGCTGCTGGCGTGTCAGAGTGTGCCTAGCGCCAGCCGCTTTTCCGGGTCGGCCGGTGGGGTTAGGAGAACATCCCCCCTCTGCTGCCTGGGGTCCCTGTGGCTCGGACTCTGCTGGTTTCCAGTCAAGTCTTCTCACCTTTGCAAAAATCCTTGCTGCACCTTGGGGACACGCCCTGGGAGTGTGGCCGCGTGTGCACCTGTGCGCACTGTGCCTTTGACACCCATTGTCAGGTGTCGTGTCAGTTGTTATTTCCATCAGCGTGTGGGAGAGTGCCCGTCCAACACTGAGCTCCGTGACAGCAAAGCCTACAACACGTGCCTACAACAGTCTGACAGGTGAAACTGTGAGCTCCTCTGAGCTGCCTCAGTTTGTCTTCGTGGTTGCATCTGGGGGCGGTCACAAAGGCGGGCCGACCACCAGGTGCTTAGTATTTATTCTTGGGGTTATCTGCGATAGCACATAGCCTTGGCCACCTTGCTCGGGCTGTGCTGTGCACCTGGGCATTTCTGTCGAGGATCCATGCAGGTGTGGCTTGCTGGGCTGTGGGGCGGGGGGCGGGGGGAGGCCCTCTCCCTGCGCCACACCTCCCTCCCTGCAGCCTTCCGCGGCTTTCAGCTGCTCCGTCGGGTTCTGCCGGGGGTGTGTGGGGTTCCACTGGGTTCTGTTGGGTGTGTGGGGGGTTCTGTTGGGTATGTACTGGGTTCTGTTGGGTTCTGCTAGGCTCTGTCAGGTGTGTATTGGGTTCTGTTGGGTGTGTATGGGGTTCGGTTGGGTTCTGCTGGGCTCTGTCAGGTGTGTGTCAGGTTCTGTCGGGTGTGTGCTGGGTTCTGTTGGGTGTGTGTTGGGTTCTGCTGGGCTCTGTTGGGTGTGTGTTGGGTTCTGCTGGGCTCTGTCGGGTGTGTGTTGGGTTCTGCTGGGCTCTGTTGGGTTCTGCTGGGCTCTTATCAGGTGTATGTTGGATTCTCCTGGGCTCTGTTGGGTTCTGCTGGATTCTGTTGGGTTCTGCTGGGCTCTGTTAGGCATGTGTTGGGTTCTTCTGGGTTCTGTTGGGTGTGTGTTGGACTCTGCTGGGTTCTGTTGGGTGTGTGTTGGGTTCTGCTGGGCTCTGTAAGGTGTGTGTCGGGTTCTGCTGGGTTCTGTTGGGTGTGTGTCGGATTCTGCTGGGCTCTGTTGGGTGTGTGTTGGGTTCTGCTGGGTTCTGTTGGGTGTGTGTCGGATTCTGCTGGGCTCTGTTGGGTGTGTGTCGGGTTCTGCTGGGTTCTGTTGGGTGTGTGTTGGATTATGCTGGGTTCTGTCAGGCGTGTGTTTGGTTCTGCCAGGCATGTGTTGGGTTCTGCCAGTGTGTTGGGTTTTGCTGGGTGGCTCCTGGTGTGGGGTCCAGTCCCTTGAGGCCTGTGGGCTAGCGCTGCCCCCAGTTCCTTGTGCTGGGCGTGATGCGCCAGCCAAGTGGGTCTCACGGGCTCTTGAGACCAGACCCCACCATGGCCAAATCCTGGTGGCCTTGGGCAGGTAGTGGACGAGGCCGGGAGCTGGGAAGTGGGAGGCTGGGCCCTCCTGGCCGGCACATTGGCTTTCAGGCAGCTGTCTGCAGTCGTGCTCATCACGTGTGGGCTGCCATGTTAGCGTTTCTGCCAATGCATGGATGGGCTCCGGCCATCAGGTGTCCCTCAGTGACACCATGTAGCTCTCAGCTCTGAGCACTTGTTAAGATCATTCCTTCGTGGTTTGTGGCTGTTGTAAAAGGGACTGGATTTCTGTCTGCCAGGTTGTTGCTGATAAAAGGGAAGCCATCGGTAGAATAAATAAGTTTTTAATGGTTTTCACGAGGGCAAGTGAGGGCAAATTTGTATCTTTTTCAACCTCGTCCAATGGGTGTGGGCGCGTGAGGCAGCACGAGCGCTCTTGTCCCATGGTGCAACCTGTGGTGGGTAGCCCTGGTGCTGGACACAGTTTCCGTCCTCCTGTGGCATGTGTGGGCTCCCACGGCACATCTGTGGCCTTGTCTCTGGGCAAGATTGGTCATGGCCATGTTCTGTGGCCTCTTCTCTCGGGTTTTGTGTCACTATTACCCTCCACCCTGTGGTTTGGCCCCAGCGTGGTGTCTTTGCACCTGTGCTGAGTGCCGCCAGACTTCCGTGGCCTGCTCTGCAGATGGAGTTTTACTGGACACAGCATGACCCCTGGTCCATGGTCACCAGCTGCAGCCACCGTGGCAGACCTGTGCAGCTGGGTGGCCTCTAGCCTGAGTTAGTTAGTGGTCCCCTGCGTTCTCTGCCCTCCTCCTCTGGACGCCTGTCACTGTGTCTCCATGTCGGGGAGGGGAAGCAGCTCTCTGGTCCTTTCTTTAAGGGCTCTGGCCCCACCCTGAGGCTCCACCCTCAGGACCTGGGCACTTCCCCAGCACCCAGCCTCCTGTGCCACTGCACTGGGAGCAGAGCCTTCCTGGAGGCCACCGCAGTCACGGCACCTGCTGTCCAGGCGTGTTGACCCAGGGGCGGCAGCTCTGCCTGTCAGGGCTCCATTTCAGCCAGCTCACTGTGCTCCCATGTTGGCTGGCAGAAATTTTGTGTTGCTGCTCAGATTGTCTATGAACAAAAAAATTCTAACTGGTATTTTTGTTTTCTAATTTCCTGTATGGAAGGAGAGCTTGCACTTCCTTTGAGATTTTGACACATGTTGCGTTATGAAATAGTCACTCTCTGTGTTTGTCAGAATCACTGTGGGGTGAGCTGGTGCTCCCAAGACAGGCATTTACGGACAGCCATGGGGAGCTGCTGCCTGGCTTCCTTTTAGGCCGATTTCTGGTCGTGTAGGTCTCATGTTCTTAATTAGAAATCAAGGTTGAGCATATAGCCTTAATTAGTATATTAACTACTAAACGTACTTATTTATCTGTTAGCTCTGCAGAGAAGCTGGGTCTTAGAGACAGTGCAGCCTCAAACCGCACTTTGAGTCCGTGGTTCTGTGCAGAGGGAGATGGTGCAATGTTCAGGAAGGGCCATGACTGTCTCGGTGGGGCGGGGTGGGTGCGCTCCCAGACCTGGTGGGTGACTGACAGCCCCTGGCAGAGCCCCCGGCCCAGAGTTGGTGCTGTTGAGAAAGCTGCCCTCGTGTTGCCCCCCCTGCCCCACCCTGGCGCCCGGGCCCTGACCCATCTCATGGGAGCAGCAGGTGCAGGCAGGCCCCAGGGGCTCATGGATGCGTGGCCGTGGGATTTGCCACCTTGTTTGCTTCTTGCTTCTCTCTGGAGTGCAAGAGACGTGACCACACGTGATGTACGCAAGTGAGAGGGAGCTGGGGACTTCTGTCGCAGATGCGGCCTGTTGGAGACTGTAGCTGGGGCCACACGTGCTGTGGCCCACAGTGCCCGGCAGGTGAGGGCTGGCATCCTCCGGCCAAGCTGCCTTTGCTTCCTGGCGCAGGGGACGTGCAGCACCTGCACCCCGGCTGGACGGGGGAGCTGTGGGCGCCGGGGTGGGGCGGTCACAGTTGGCCATCCCTTCCCTCCTCCTTCCCCTCCTCTTCCCTGCTCACCTGGCCTTAACCTCTTCCTCCTCCGTACCTGGCTTGCTTGCCTGGCCTAACATCTTGGCATCACCACTCTGGTCTTACCCACCAGCTGTAGCCTCCTTGCCTGCCCCCTGGCCCTGTTCACCAGCCTTAACCTTCTTGCTCTTACCTCCTTCTTGCTTCAATCTCCTGGCTTTGCCTTCCAGGTCCGACCTTCTGGCCATGTTAATAATCTTCGGCCCTCCCCTCCTGCCTGTACTCGCTTGGCCTCAAGCACAGCTGACCCACCTGTCCTCACCTGATGGCCTCGCCCACCTGGTCTCAGCCTCACAACCTTCACTTCGTGCTTTGTGCCGGGGCCGGGTCTGTGGCAGGCAGCTTTCCAGGGGGTTGAAATCAGTTGGAACATGTGGTCACAGGTGGTCTTCCCTGACCTGCCTGGCTGTCACCTGCCATTGTCCTGGGGAGCTCAGTAGCATGTGGGTGGCTGTCCTCTTCCTCATCTTCTGTAGGAAAGCAGAGTTGTTTTGTTTTTTCATTTCAAAATTTTCACAGGTGCACAAATGTTTAGATTATGTCTATTGCATTTGCACTACCCAAGTCAGAGCTACAAGCATGTCCATCCCCCAGACAGTGCACATCGTGCCTGTTAGGTGTGAATACACTTATCCCCTCCAACCTGACACCTAATGAATGTTATTCCTATATGTGCACATAAGTGTTAATCAGTTAAAACCAATTTGCTGGTGAGTACATATGGTGCCTGTTTTTCCATTCTTTGATACTTCACTTAGTAGAATGGGCTCCAGCTCCATCCAGGATAATACAAGAGGTGCTAGATCACCATTGTATTTTGTGGCTGAGTAGAACTCCATAGTATACATATACCACATTTTATTAATCCGCTCATGTATTGATAGGCACTTAGGTTGTTTCCACATCTTTGCAATTGTGAATTGTGCTGCTGTAAACATTCGAGTGAGCAGATGTCTTTTTTATAGAATGTCTTTTCTTTTGGGTAAGGAAGGTAGAGTTTTGAAGAAGTCCAGGAAATTGCCCCAGTGGCCTTGCTGGTCTTAGCTGCCTGACCCTGTGCAACCCTTGACCTCCAGCATGCGGCCACAGCTTGCTCCCTGCTTGCTTGTGTGGATGAATGCGTTGGATGTGTGAGGCGTGTTCATGCTTCACACTCCGGCATCCACCAGCCCCACCTCTCCCAGCCCCACTGCCCAGGTGCAGGCCACAGCTGACCTCGTGTGCACCTGGCTGCAGCCGCCACGTGTGTGCTGTGAAATGCCACTCCCAGAGGCTGTCCCTCCAGCTCCACCTCTTGGGACAGTGTTTCTGCTGCAGAGCTGGGGTCTGAGGTTCAGCCAAGAGTAGGCAGAGGATAAAAGGCTTCACTGTCTTGGCTGAAGACACAGTGAGGGTGACAGGCAAGACGTCTTCCCAAGGTGTTTGCCCCACGGCGCGCTGCTGGCCCCTACTGCTCTCGCACCATGTGTGCCGTGGCCACGTGGAGTCCATGGGCGTGGCCCCTTCCCTGCCTGGCTCCAGGTAGATGCCGTTTCAGGCATGAAGTGACCCCACATGTCCACGCCCTGGTGCTCTCCAGGCTGTCAGAGAGTCGTCCCGGACGACTCATGGTCGTCATGGACCCCTCCGAGGAGGGCGGTTGCTGATGACGGTGCCGTTTGCTCCTGGACGCTGTATTCACTGTCGCTGTTGTTGCTTTCTGCAGGCCGGTCTAATTGAAGCCAACGGAGAGCTCAAGGTCTTCATAGACCAGAACCTGAGCCCGGGAAAAGGTAAGGACCCGCCTGCAATATGAACCCGTGCGCAGCGCAGGGGGCTGGCGCATCTGCGTCTGTGGTACAGCCTTTGCTCGCTGCAGAAACTCCGCCGTGGAGCCCCCGTGCTCCATGCCCACTGGGTGGGCTCTGACTTCCCAGTTTCCCCTCTACTATTTGCAAAGGTTCGGAAAACGCAGAATAATGTGAACAAGAAAATAAAGATCATGTGTCTTCCTTCCACCCAACGTTCCGAGCCCCTCGCCAGCACTGCGGCTCCTGCAGACGCTTCCCGTGGCCTGCGCACTACCTGCAGAGAGGGGGGAGGGTCTGCGGGGACTGCGGTGCCCGCCTGGGCACCTTCCCGGGCACCTTCCCGTGCCCGCTGTGTGTGTGACGGCTCCTGAAGACATGAGGTATCTCTGTGTCCCGAGACTCCGTGGAGGATGGGGGTGGGGGTGAAAGCTGCGTCACTTCGAGGACCCGTGGTTTGCGGTTTCTTCTCCTCCAGGTGGGAGGTGGCCGCATCCAACTGGGCGTGTGTGTGCTCACTGGCTGCCGCACAGACAGACTCCTGGCCGGTGCGGGGAGGGGTTCCCCATGGTGAAGCATCCATGTGGATGCTTGGCCCCCGTGAGGCTGCGTGAGGCGGTTGGCACAGATCGCTACGGCACAAAGACAGACTCAGGAAAAGCTCACTCTGTCCCAAGAGGAATTTATGGCGGAGGCTGGGAGCCACGGTGCGCTCTGTGTGGGGCGCCCGCTGGTCTGTGTCAGTCTGGCGGGCTTGGGGCCTGAGCACTTGGTTTCAGGTCTGTTTAAGCATTGCTCATTTCTGATGCTCCAAATTACTCTCGGACGTGAAACTGGCTCTTTTCCCTCTTGACACAGAGGCCCTGGTCAGTGGCCTCCTGGCGCTGGCTGCAGCTCGGGTGTGTGGGCCCACGGGGGGCTAGGCGGACGCATTCTGGGGCCTGGACCGTGCCCCCCCCCCCCCGGCTCTTCCTTGCCCAGAGGATGGGCCCGGCTGGAGCTGGCCCAGGCCCTCCTGCCCCGACCCTGGTGCTCGCTGCAGGGGCTACTTTTCTGCTGTGGTTGTCGCCTCCCTGCTCATTTCCTGAGGATGGAGGTCAGACTAACCCTAACCCCTCTCAGGATTCATATTTAGCAGCTTTTTGTTTCATAAGCATGCAGCGACCACAGATTGTGCGGAGGCAAGGCTGTTTCGCGGTAGCTGACTGGACATTGAAACTTCGTGCAGTCTCAGGCATGACTTTCTGTCGAGTGGAAGAGTTCACAGTTTTGTTGGCTTGGAAGCGTTGGTGTCTGTCACCACGGTGCTCACTCTGACCCTCTGCCGTCCGGACACACCCAGGGAGCTTTCCTGTCCCACGTGGCTGTGTCCTTCCATCCTCCCTGCGGCGTCTGTGCCGGGTTCAGTCCTGAGCCAGAGTTGGGTTGGAGGGATCAGGACAGAACTCATCTGGCATCAGCCCACCACGGCGTGCGCGGCGTTTGACTTGGTCCTCGAGGTCTCCTGTTTGCGCTCAGCTCATCCGGAGGTGTCCCCGGCCGTGGCAGTCGCGTGACCGCTCTGCCTGCCCCAAGGGAGCCCTGGGACCGGTCAGCTCTGCGTCCAGGGCTGGCGGGCAGCAGGCGTGTCGGCCTCCGAGGGCCTTGCCCCACACAGCCCGGCCTGGCGCTCGGTCGCTCCCACCTCATGGGCAGATGCCTCACACTGACTCCGCGTGAACCACATTTTCACGTTTTAAAGCTCTGAAGTCTGCAAAGGCGCACAGCGAAGTCTCCACCAGGCCAGGTCTCCCCTCCTCTCCTGCCCCCGGCACGTGGGCACCCGGCCCAGTTCCTGGCGTGTTGCGAATTCTCTCTGACAGGCGGGACCCGGTATCCATCTGTGTGGGGCACGGCCCCAGCTTCCACGAGGACGCTGCTGCGGGCAGGACTCCAGATGCTGTCCTCAGTAGAGGTTGGGGTCCTGATGCCTCCTCAGAAAGGACCCCCACTGCGCCCCCGGGCCCCCAAGCTCTCCAGGGGCGGAGTGGTGGGGACAGCTCACACCCAGGGCAGGACTATTTCCAGGATGCGGCTCCCTGCTTATGGAGTGGTAGGTCCCAGCTTGGCAGGTGCCGGAGTCTGAGGCAGGACCCTGCTCCGGGAGCCTGGCCTTGGCTGCTCAGACGAGGCCCCGCCACCATGGCGCACAGCGTGGTCTCCTCCACGTGGAGCCGCTTACAGAAGAGCCCAGGCGACGCCGAGGTGGGTGTCTGCCCGAAGCCTGGGTGGTGGGGTGTAGACATCATCCAGCGTCTCTACCAGTGTCGCAGTGCCACGCAGAACTCTCCGGACCAGTCTCAGGTTGGAGGACAAGGAGAGACCCTCTTCCTTTCAAAGAGCTCCCACACCTCTCCAGCCCCTGCATTTATTGCAGAGAAAGGCACGCAAGGTCACAGCAAAGAACGTGCAAAGAGAACATTTGGAAAGAACACAGATAAAATCTCTGGTGCCAGTAAACACGTTATTCTAAGGAAATCTAGTTAGTGACATGCAACATGTCCACGTTTATCTTGGGATTCCTTGCGACTCCTTAGGCAGTGAAGAAAAGGGCAGGGCCCACGTCAGCCACGCCCCTCTGCCTTCCAGAGCCCGCTGTGCACAGCAGCTGACACGCGTCACGTGCCAAGTCCTGTGTGCAGGACTGCACGTTTCCACCTTTATCACTATCCCTCTGCCCAGGCCCAGGCCTTGTGCCTTTTCTAGAACCCTGTGCAGCGGGGTGTCACCAGAGTGACACGTGACACCCAGCATCCTGCCCTCAGAGTCAGAAAGCTGCTTTGTTCCGAGTGAGACGCACCGGACTCAGGTGTGTGGCCGTGGGACTTGCTCTCTGATGCTGGCTGGTGGCCAGGTGCCAGCAGGACGCCTGTGTGAGGACACGAATGCTCGTCCTCTGGACATGGCTGAGGAACCGTCAGGTCGCTTGGCTGCTGGCGGCTATTGCGTGTCACAGAGCGTCACAGTCACTCCACACCCTCACCGTGCTTGGTGTCGCTGGGGTTTAGGCCTCCTGTGCCTCAGTGTCCTTCTCTCGCCTGTGCCCGTGGAGCTGGTGGTGTCTGTGCAGGTTGCTCTGCCTGGTCCCCCTGCCCCCGCCCAGGGGACCTCGCTGGCCGAGTGCTGTGTGGCACGCAGGGACTGTTCACACCTGGTCCATGTGGGAGTGACCGACGCCCGCTGCAAAGCCAGTGCCGGGCCTGGGTGCTGGTGGAAGCATGAATGCCCCGTCCAGCCCTGGAGCACCTGTTCCTGATAGTAGTGTGCGTCTGTGACGGCCGGTGGCTGTGTCCCCACTGCGGTGACGTCCATCCTCGGTCATTAGGGCCTTCCTGTCGTGGTTTAATGGTGCTGCTTGCCACCTCTGTTGTTGTGACCTTTGCTCCCTTGCATTGCCACGCCGTGTGGCTGATGGTTAACATGATAAATCGTCTTTTTGCTGGGAAGTCCTGAGGCGCCAGGCCACGGCCCGGTCCTGCAGTGCCTCCTGGCTCCTGTGGTGCCCTGACGCATGGACAGGTGGTCGGGTTTTCCTCCACAGACTCCTTGCTAGGGCTGCCGCTTTCCGAGTCGTCTGGCTGACACTGACATCTGTTCTCTCTGCGTCAGTGTGGCGCCTCACAGCTTTAGGATGGGATTCTAAGGGGGGAGAGGACGATTCAGTAGCCACGGGACTTGTGGCAGCTGCTCCCGGAGACACACCCTGGGTCGTGGGCAATTCCACCCGGTCTCTCTGCTGCCCTTGGGGGGCTGATGTCGGGGGATGGTGCGCCTTCTGGCCACTCCTCAGCATGCTGCCCTGGGCTGCTTCCTCTCTCCCTGCTCCCTGTTCCGAAGGACATTTAAAGCTTAGTGTCTGTCCTCAGCCCCTGGATGGCACGTCTAAGCCATAAACCTGTCCAGGGCCAAGGCAGCGCGATGATTCCCGTGCGGTGGGCACTGCCCTGGGGCTGCTTCCCGGAGCTCCTAGGGGCTGTGGAGGGCCTGAGCCGCTGAGGTTGCTGCCTCAGCCTGTCCCATCAGGAAGCAGGTGCAGAGCCCGTTTCCCCGAGTCTGTGTGGGATCTGGGTAGGGCCGTGGGGCGTCCTCCCCGTGGTGGCTCAGGTGGAAGGTTGTGTTTTATCTGCTCAGGTGCTCGCGAGTGGCAAAGGCTCGAGCTTGGCTGTGTTTCCAGCACGCGGCTGCGTGGCGACTCCTGAAATACTCAGCTTCGAAAACTTCAGGACATGCAGTTAGAGTTATTTTTGAGAAAATGCTAAGCTTTATCCTTCCACAATTTATCTTAAACTCCGTAGATATTAGTGAAATATGATGAATAATTACAAAAACGTGAATGTGATAGATTTAGAATCCTTTTATTGTTAGTGGGTCCTAGCAGGTGAGACCATGTGTGATCTTAACCAGTTTTCTTACAAGAGAAGAATTCCCCACTCATGACACAGGAAAATCTTTCCACATCATTGCTCTGCAAGAGGCTTTGCCGTACATTTTACAGTTTAAGCCATGCAGATTCTGGGGAGTCAGCTTGCAGGCCAGTGTGACCCACGACAGTTGTGCCGTCAGCCCTCCCCTGGGAAGGTTATGTGTGTAAAACATCCTTTCTGCGTTGCCAGGTTAATATGAAAACAAAACCCCACTTCACCTTGGGATTGGCAGGAAGCAATTGGTCTCGCAGAGCTGACAGCAGGCAGAGACAGGGACATAGCCACATGGCCCTTCAGGGGGCGGGAGGCCGAAGTCCTGGACAGAAGGTGCCCAGACTGTGGGTGCGCCTGAGACAGCTACACGCCTGTGTGGGTCAGTCGGAGCCAACAATGTGTTCACAGGACATGTGTCTGTGTAGCCATGTTTTTGTAGTGGTATCACATTGGGATGAAGGACTCAGCCGGGTGGCTCAGAAACGGTGGATGCCCAATTACGGGACACGTACAACATGAGGCCACAAAAACAACCCTGTTCCTGGGCTCAGCGCCTGCCTGGGAGTGTTAGACATGGAGTGACGGCCTAGGCAGGCAGCCTCGGGGGACCAGGGGTCTCCAGGGACTATAATTTTATCTCTTCTTCAGGAAGCACAGGAACTATGATGCGATGATGGCTAATTGTGAGCATCCTGGCATGAGGTGGTTTGTCTTGTCATGTTTTATATTTGAAAGGTTTTTCACTCAGTGGAAACAGAAGCCCACCCAGCACGGGGCCCTGGGCAGGGAGCCCTTAGGGCTGGTGGTGTGAGGTGTGTCCAGGGGGGAGGCCTTGCCCTGACTGCTGGGCTAGGAGTGCACTCAGCTGTGATCCGCGAGGGCTCTTCTGAAGAGACGTGTCTAACCCTACCCTAACCCAGACGGCTTTACCCTGACAGCTTCCTGCTATCAGTCCCTGCCATAGGGTGACGCAGGGACATCTCTGACCGGGTTTGGGTGCCCTGCCCAGCTCCCCTATTAGTTCCTGTCTGTGCTTGGCGGGTCCAAGGGGCTCAGAAACCCTCCCCTCAGCCGACGTGGGGCTCGGGCTCTGTGTGGCTGTGGGAGAATGTTTGTGGGGTCCCTCACTCTGCCTGAGTCTGGCGGGGGCTGGGGTTCTTTCTGCCTATTTCTCTCCCTTTCCTGGCTGTGGAACCCTTGGACGCCCACCCAGCCTGTGTTGGCCTCAGGGGCTGGAGATAGAGACCGGGTTGCTGAGACGGGCATGTGAGCAGCTGGCTGGCCAGATGAGCAAGCGGGAGGATGAGAGGCGGCCTGCAGGGCAGCCCGGTCTCTTAGAGGGACCCAAAGGGTAGAGCCTCGGTGGGGTGGGAATCTTTCCTTTCCTGGTGCTGTCGGGACCCGAAAGTCACTGTTGTTCTTCGCCTGGGATGACCTACTGGGCCTTTCCAGGACTCACCTTGCCCTCGGCCTCTCCAGCCTCGCGGTTCCCTGACCCGCCTCCACCGCGCCCCCGGAAGCCACCGCCTGGGCCTCTCTACTCTCTAGTGCCATTTTTTGAATTTTATCAATTCTGGTTCATTTTACTTTTTATCATGTGAAGGAAACATTTCGTGATTTTTATTCACCGTTGTGCTGGTGCACACGCTCTCCGCAGCGCCGCGGAGGGGTGAGGACTGCACCTGCGCGGGTTGGTCCCTACTCCACCTCTGTTCGGGGTGTCGGGTGCGTCCAGAGTTGGCAGCCAGACAGGTGATTCTCCTTAAGGAGAAGCGGATTTGTTAGATTTCTGAACTAGTTTTGCAACCATATAGGGAAAACACTGGGATAAAAGTTAACTTTAAAATTCCAGCCTGTGATTGTGCTGGACTCTCAGACTCTCCGGGCCACGTGGCCCCAGCGCAGTCTGCCCTGGACGACCCGAGGCATCACCGGAGCCCCGGAGTGGTGCCGGGGAGGAGCCGGCCATTTGGAAAGAGCTTGTGTGTCCTGTCGGCACAGCCCTCTGCACATTTTCCAAGTTGGGACTTGAGCTTAGTGGACATATTTGCAGTTGAGCCGTGTCTGAAATGGTAAAAGTGGAAGAATTTCTAATTAGAAGCCTCATCTTCCTGAAACTGCCACTTTTAGCCTTGATTTAGGAAAGAGCCCCCGCGCTGACCCGTGTCCTTGTGTTGCAGGCGTGGTGTCCCTGGTGGCCGTTCACCCATCCACGGTAAACCCGCTGGGGAAGCAGCTCTTGCCGAAAACCTTCGGACAGTCCAATGTCAACATTGCCCAGCAAGTGGTAAGGCGCCGGGACCACGCAGAGCCTACGAGGATGGCGATGGGGGGGGGGGCGGCTCAGTCTGCAGGGCGTGTGGGTTCCAGCAGGGTTGGCGTGGGGGACTTGCAGGGCGCAGCCACACAGGGGGTCAGTGGAGGGTCACAGAGCTGCCTCGTGGGGCTGCTCACCTGATGGCGTGGTGGGAGTCGGGACGTCTGCCATGGCCATCCCCTCCCTCCCCTGCCTACGATCTGTTTTGGTTGTTAATGCTGCTCTTCAAGTTCATTTCCCGTCTTCGTGTCCGTTTTCCTTTTCCTCTCTGTGGGCTCCAGCCTGGAGTCCGTCACACAAGGGTGTCCCCCAGGAGGTGAGTGGGTTTTGCCTGGGCCTGGAGCTCGTGGGTGGGACGTAGGCTGGGCCTCCCGAGGCCTCCAGCACTTCCTCTGGGACCTTCCTCAGGCGCCTGAAGGCTCTTTCCTGACCCGAGAGGCTCTGGCCCGTCCTGGTTGTTGAGGTCCACTGCCTCCGCTCCTGCCCTGGCCCGGCCCCCTTAGTCCTCTGGCCGTGCTCTTGCCCCAGCCTACCTGGCCATGTCCTCTGGAGGACGGGAATCTGCGTCTGGGGCACTGTCCCCAGGTGTCCCCTGCCCCGGGGGAGTTCTGTGCTAGGCAGTCTCCTTGCTGCGTAATGATGTTTCCATCAGAGAACAGTGACCACAGACTGCAGATGCTTTGGTCATTTCCACACTTGAGTTTTTATTTTAAACTCATTCCTGCTGTTTGCATTTATTTGAACACACTTGAAATTGTCTGGATCCCTTTAGTAAATCTCAGTGTTTGAATTTTAAGAGGGAGCGGCTCGTGGCAGAACTGAGAGGTGGTACCAGGGTGTGAGCAGGGCCCCTGGGTGACGGGCCCTGTGCTGCTGCCCGTGGTGGTGTGTGGACACTCCCGGGCTGGGTGCTCAGCGTCCTGCAGGGAAATGGGACAGTTCCCTGCTTGTGGAATGTCGCGGGTCATTGGAAGTGGCCGTTTGTGGAAGCCCCTGGCACATCACCAGCTGCTCAGCAAATGCCATTTCGGTAACAGCTAAAAGCCCAGTTTTTTTGGGCTTTGTGATTCACAGTTTGATTTTACAGGTGCCATCTGTACATCAGAGCGGAGTTTGTCTTGGAGAATAATTGTAGCAACAGTTCCATTTTTATTGCCAGTATAGATAGCTGGGAGGAAAATTAGCATGAAAATTGTTTATTGATGTGCTTTAAATTTCATCAATCTGAAAGTCACATCACCAGCGTAGGTTCAGCTGTCTTGAGTGGCACTAGGAATCCTCTTGGTCTGCAAAGGCACCGTACCATGGATTGAAGCTCACAAATTGCAAATGTCTCTCAAACCTTTTTACATTCCAAAGGTTTAACAGTGGGACTGGCTGGCTGTGATGTGCGGTGGCTCAGTCCTCGGCTGAGGGGGTGTTGGGTCTTTGACTTTCTCTGGTCTCTGGGCCACGATTGCACCGGCACTAGTGCGCAGGCTGCATGCTCCACGTGGTCAAGAGATGCCAGGTCTGTCAGTGTCGGCAGAAGAGTGTGGGTTTGCAGCGGCGGCTGCCCTTGGAAGCCCTCCCAGAAGCACCATGGGGCAATCCCCTCCCCAGAAAAGAGAATTTTATGATATAAATTACCTTTCCTTTGTCGTGGTTTCCTTCCGTCTGTTTTGAGGTTCTAAGAGAAGTCACACGGTGCACACAGAGGTGATTCCAATTTCAGTTTCAGAGTCTGTGAAGTTGAGGTGCAAAAATGTGTTCACAGGGCAGAAGGTGGCTGAGGCCGTAGGGCTGGAGCCAGTGAGGATGGGGGGGGGGAGGGAGGCACACGCTGTTGGGGTGTGAGGAGCTCCCAGGTAAAGGGACCTGGTGTGGGGGTGGGGTTCCCAGGCGAGGTGGGGGGGTGGGAGGTGCTCCTGGGAAGGTGGGGGTGGGGCTCCCAGGCGAGATGGGGGGTGGGGTGCTCCCGGGAAGGTGGGGGGCGAGGTGGGGGTGGGCACTTCTAGGCGAGGGGCTGCTCCCAGGCCCCCTGCTGTGGGACACTGGGGCCTCGAGTTCTATTTTCCCACTGCCGGGATGGGAACTGTGAGAGCCCGGGGGTAGGAGACTCGGGCTGAAGCTGCGGCGTTACCTGGTGAAGCTGAGGAGGCAGCACCGAAGTCTCCGTGTCGCCTTCCCGGGAGAGGAGAGCGTGAGCCAGGCCCTCGGTGCCGCGGCGCTCGCGGGGTCTTGGTCCCACGGCACAGCGGCTCCTGGGCGTGGTGTGGCGGGACAGTGGGCGCTGCAGGCTCAGAGCCGATGGCGGCGCCTCAGAAAAGGCACAGAGAGCTTCTCGTGTTCCTAAGGGCGCGTCCTGCAGGCAGGCGCGAGGTCTGCGCAAACTCCGCCAGGGTTTCCGGTGGGCGCGCAAAGGGTTTCCGGTGAGCGCGCGAGGGGTTTCTGGTGAGCGCGAGGGGTTTCCGGTGGGCGTGTCCTTTCTGACGGCGTGTCGCGGGCGTGTCGCGGGCGCCGCGGGCGGCCTCTGTCATCCCGGAAGGCCTTCAGTAACCGCTGCTGCGCAACTGCTGTGCACCTGCCCTTTGCTTCTCGCTCGCTCGTCCAGCCCGGCGCGGGTGGCCCTGACGTCACCGAGGTGCGGTGCGACGCGTGTTCCGTAGAAACAGCACTCGGGCGCGCAGCGTGGCGTTTTCACTGTCACCCGGTGTTCGGTAAACTGCACGAGGCCATCCACGCTTCGCTGCGAAGTGGGCCTCGTGCGGGGCGTTCCGCGCATGCGTGCGGGCCGGCGCGAGCGTCGGCGCATGCGCATGTGCGGCTGGAGGCGCCGGCGGGGTCTGGGAGGCGCTTTCTCAGCCTGCGACGCTTTCCCTTCACGGTGGGTCTGTGGGGCCGGCATGGGCTGGGGCACCTGTGCGGGGCTGGGTCACCCCCGGCTGCGGTGGCCGTGGCGGAGGGGCCGTCTATCTCGGGGCTCGGCCTCGGGGCCTGTGCGGGGCTGGGATGCGGGGACGCCGCTCGCGGGGACGCCAGAGCCGCGTTCCTGGGACTTGTCCGGGTGCGCCGGGCCCGCGTGTGGCAGCGCCGTCGCCGAGCTGCGTGCTCGGTTGTCCCGGCTCCGTGGAGCGTCTGTGTGCCGGGCAGGGGCCACCAGCAGGAGGCCCCAGCGTCCTGCCGTTTGGACCTCAGCCCTCCTCGTGAGAAAGGTGCTTACCGGGGTGACCCCGCGCCCGCTCGTGACGTGGCCGCTCACCTGGGGGAGATTTGTTCTTTTTTTTCATTGTTTGATTTTTGCAGGGAATCCACTAATTTGATTTCTGGCTACTCACGAGCGGTGATGCCGCTGATGGTTCGTTCGTCGTTGGAAATACACAGATACGCGTTTATGTTTGATGAAAAGTGTGAACTCGGTTGAAAGGTTTTTCTTTTCGCGGCCGACAGGTGGTCTGGGCTTAGAGGTGATTTGGAAGTGCTGTGTCAGCGGCTCCCAGGCCGCGGCAGGTAGCCCATTGATCCCTCTAAGACGCAGAGCTGGGGGAGGCCAGCTTAGGACAGCCGAGGACGTTAGCTGCATGGCCTGCAGCCGGGCCAGCCGCAGTCCCTCCCGCAGAAGCCCCGTGTCCACGCGGGAGGCGTTTGCTGAGGCGGTTGGGTGCGTGGCAGACAGGACCCAGCATCTGCTGAGGGGTCTCACTCTCTACCAAGGCAGCCACACAACGTGATCTTTGAAAGTGAAGTGTCCTTTGGCTGCGCAAGGCCGTGTCTGTGTGCCCAGATGTCAGGGTTTGAGTATTAATAACGCAGCTAACGCAATAGGACCTTGTTGTCCAAAGACAGACCAAGTATTCTCTTCCTTTAATGAAGCAGCAGTTGTTGTCTGCTATGGGCTGGCGTTGCCTGCAGGGTCAGCTTGCCCTGCCCGGCTGCCCTCGTTCTGTGCATCAGTGTTGGGCAGATAGTGACACCTTCCCCGTGCTCCCCGCGCTGGAGTCCTCCCTGGTCCTGCCTGATACTGTCTGGGCTCCGTGTTCCCCTAGAGAGCACTAGAGTCCTCCCCAGTCCTGCCTGGTACCGTTTGGACTTTATGTTCCCCCAGAGAGCACTAGAGTCCTCCCTGGTACTGTCTGGATTCCGTGTTCCCCCAGAGAGCACTAGAGTCCTCCCCAGTCCTGCCTGGTACCGTTTGGACTTCATGTTCCCCCAGAGAGCACTAGAGTCCTCCCTGGTACTGTCTGGATTCCGTGTTCCCCCAGAGAGCACTAGAGTCCTCCCCGGTCCTGCCTGGTACCGTCTGGATTCCATGTTCCCCCAGAGAGCACTAGAGTTCTCCCTGGTCCTGCCTGGTACCGTCTGGGCTCCGCATTACCTAGAGAGCTCCCGCTGGGACAGGCACCAGTGACAAATGTAAACCAGACAGATGGCGGTTGTCACCTGGGGTGGCTGTTCTGGTGAGTCGGCTGCTGTTACCCCGTGTTTGACTTTCTTTTGAGATTGGTTTTTGTTTGTTTTCTTGTGTCTTTTGTATTTCGTACCTCAGAAGCCACAATCTTATGCACACCCACGTTGCTAAGCGGGGAAACAGGAGTGTGTTGAGGTCGTGTGTGAGGTCTGTACTGCCGATTGTCACCCTGACCCTCATGGTCCCGCCTGTGGCCAACAGTCACAGATTGCATGGAGAGAGCCTTGCTCCACACATGGCCTGCCACGGTTATCATACGTTTTCTGTGGCTCTTGTTCCATGATGCCAATGGCTGCAAGTGAGGGAAGGACACAAGGTCACGCTCAGAGCAGACGTGGCGGCATGGCACATACCACGGCATCAGCAGCTAGGCATTTACTCTCTTGCTCTTTTTCCTGTGTGGTCAGCGAAATCTAGCAGTGGCTGTGGATGACCAGGCGTGGCGAGGACGGCGGCGTGGCATGGGCAATGACTGATTGTTCTGAATTGTCTCTTTCGACTGTAGGTCATTGGTACGCCGCAGAGACCGGCAGCGTCACACACTGTCGTGGTAGGAAGCCCACACACCCCCAACACTCACTTTGTCTCTCAGAGCCAGCCCTCCGACTCCTCACCTTGGTCTGCCGGGTGAGCACTTCCCTCCCACCCTTAGCCGTAGACCCGCTTGCAGGCCTCCCCCACCGCCTCCCGTGGCCACATGTGTTATGTGATGATGCCATGGGCTCCCATGTATGTTGACCTCAGAGCCCCTCACCAAGTCCTCCCATCCGGACTGGGAAATGTTCCATGGTACCCAACGCAGACTGCAGTCGGGCACATGGCCTCGGTCATGGAGCCAGGCCTGCCCACGCCGTGGCATCTGGGGTGGCGGCTTCCGCTCTTGGCCAAGCAGGGCCTGGGACATGCTGCGTTCCCTTGTCTGCACTGGGGACACCTAGCCTTGCCTGCACCTCGAGTCACAGCCCCACCGGATGGTCCCGGCTCAGCTGCTGCTTCCACTGAGGCAGAGTCTGATGTGGAAAGGCTTTGACCCCAGGTCAGCGGCATGTCTGTCCTTACAGACACGCACATGGGCTTGTCTGTCCTTACAGACTCACACAACTGTGACCCGTGTTTGTTCTAAAGCAGAAGTCGTCAGTGCTCAGACTTAGCCAATGTGACAGCCTGGGCCTTTGTCCTTAACATGGTCACTGAATGAATGGAGGTCGCAGATCGGAGCTCTCCTCCTGCTCTGAGCGCACCTGGCGGATTGCACCTGTGTCAAGCGGCCGTTGTAGTCTAAGCATTTGCCTTACGAAATCACAGCCTGCTGATATTTGCCCCCAGAACTGCCAGGTTCGCACTAAAATATCTCCTAATTCCAGAGGTTGTTGCCATCGGTAGAAAAGCGGAGCTTAACGTACTGACACGTGTCAGATACCTGCCGATTCTCACCCACTGGGGCGTCCGCCCACTTGTCTTGGAATTTGAAAGCACAGAGGCGTGATCTGGCCTTGGAAACGCTCAATTTTTGGCCTTTAAAAGCGCTGGGCACCTGTCCACATCCTCGGGGTGCAGGCGCTGGGCGGAGCCGCCGTCCTGCGCCCGCCTGGGCAGTCCCGGCTTACCTGCTGCACCCGGGCTCACCCGGGCTCAGCCCTTCACATAGCTCGTTAGACGCTTCAGGGGAAAGCGCGGCTCGATGCGCGGCTGGCTCTCCAGTGCTCACGGCCGTGTATGTTCCCCTTTTGTGTCTTGAAGGAAACGCAACAGGAAGGGCGAGAAGAATGGCAAGGGCCTGCGGCACTTCTCCATGAAGGTGTGCGAGAAGGTGCAGAGGAAGGGCACCACGTCCTATAACGAGGTGGCGGACGAGCTGGTCGCGGAGTTCAGCGCCGCCGACAACCACATCCTGCCTAACGAATCGGTGAGTGTGCGAGGCAGGGCTGGTGGGGCCCAACGGCGTGGTGCAACTCACGGGCTCTAAATTTGAAACAGTTGCAGACAGAAAATTCCAAATACGTCATAAAAATTTTTCCTGACCTGCTTGCGGGCGCATTGCCGGCGAGACGCTGTGCGTGTGAACACGCAGGCCTGGCTCTGCCCAGCCCCGGCCGTGCAGGACTGGGGGCTCAGTGAGGGTGTGTCGGGAGTCTAGCTCCATGGGAAGCGCTGACGATGCACCTCAGCCGTAGGTGGTGGGTGCCCGTGGTCTAGAACGTACCATGGTAACCTGCAAGGTTTTGCATCACCTGGACAGTTAACTCTGTCTCCCCAGGCTTACGACCAGAAGAACATTCGACGGCGCGTCTACGACGCCTTAAACGTGCTCATGGCCATGAACATCATCTCCAAGGAGAAGAAGGAGATCCGGTGGATCGGCCTCCCCACCAACTCGGCTCAGGAATGCCAGAACCTGGAGGTGCGCAGCCGGCTCTGCACACGCGGATACACCCCATCAGTTGTTCTTGGGGCCTCGGCTGCGTGGGCCCCCACATCCTCGGTCCCTGGTGTCGCGGTTGCGTGCCAGCGTCGGGCGCCGTTTACCCCTGTCCTGGCCTGGCTGTGCAGACGCAGCGGCCAGGGAGGGGTGGGGCTGACCCGCTAGAACGTATCAGACTTCAGCAGCGGTTAATTCTGACTCCCAGTTTGTGGGATCTTTTTAAAAAAATAATCATAGCGAGATGCAAGAGATGAGAGAAGGGAAGTGTAGCTTAGAAACAGAAGAAAAACTTAGCCGTGTCTGAGCATTTGCCGTGTTCCAGATGCACGGGTGTCCCTGCGACTGAATTCAAGGTGCACGTCGGGTGCCATGTGAATGCACGTTTTTGCATGTGCAGAGGGGACAATCGCGGTTTGTTTTTCAAGGTGGAGAGACAGAGAAGACTTGAAAGAATAAAACAGAAACAGTCTCAACTTCAAGAGCTTATCCTACAGGTAAGAAAATACTTACCTGGGTGGTGAATTTTGTCCTGCCGATTCAGTTTCCTGGCATGCGCCTGTGGTAGGATGCAGTCCTGTGTGGTGAGTGAAGTCTCTGTCTGAGATTCTGGGTGTCGGCTTCCTGTGTGCTCAGAGCTCACCTCACGTGGTGGTGGGCGCTGGGGCCACACTCCAGGGAGTGGTGTGTGGGGCCCTTGGGCTCTAGTGTCTGGCTGGTGGCATCTGAAACACTCTCCCAGAGAGGTGCAGCCTGCACCAAGTGCCTGGTGTGTCTAACGCTGAGGAGCCATGGTGCTCACCAAGCTGCGGTGGGCACCGGACGAGGGTGGGTGTGTGTGCGTGCAGGCTCCTGGGAACTGGGGGCCGCGTTGCTCGCAGCAACTACCGGCCAAGTGCCCACGGCTGCCTCCTTCCCAGCAAATCGCCTTCAAGAACCTCGTGCAGAGGAACCGGCATGCGGAGCAGCAGGCCAGCAGGCCACCGCCGCCCAACTCGGTCATCCACCTGCCCTTCATCATTGTCAACACCAGCAAGAAGACCGTCATCGACTGCAGCATCTCCAATGACAAGTACGTCGTGGGCGGGATGGGAGCTAGCTCTAGGGGAGCTAAAGCGGGTTAGGTTCTCACTAGGCCGAGTTTTTAAATGTCGTACAACAGCCAAGGTTTGCAGACTGCAGGGGCTGGCGAGCATGTCCCTGGAGCGTGTCCTGCCTGTCACTGTGCGCTGTGGTCTGCGCTGTGACCTGAGCCATCTTGCTGTTTTGTTCTGAGTGTAGTTCCCTTTTTTTTTTTTTTTTTTGGGGGGACAGAGTCTTGCTCTATTGCCAGGCTAGAGTGCCGTGATGTCAGCCTAGCTCACAGCAACCTCAAACTCTTGGGCTCAAGTGATCCTCCTGCCTCAGCCTCCCTAGTAGCTGGGACTACAGGCATGCGCCACCACAGTTGACTAACTTTTTCTATTTTGGTAGAAACAGGGTCTTGGTCTTGAATTCCATACCCCATGTGATCCTCCCGCCTCAGCCTCCCAGAGTGCTGGGATCACAGGCACAAGCACCGCGCCCAGCCTGAGTGTGGTTTCTTGGTGAGGCTCGGTGACAGGGACCCCTGTGGGGCCGTGTCATCTGGAGACTCTGTCCTCCATCTTTTGGGGCTGCCTCTCCCCTCAGGTTTGAGTACCTGTTCAATTTCGACAACACGTTCGAGATCCACGACGACATCGAGGTGCTGAAGCGCATGGGCATGGCCTGCGGGCTGGAGTCCGGCAGCTGCTCCGCGGACGACCTCAAAGTGGCGAGAAGCTTGGTGCCGAAAGCTCTGGAACCGTACGTGACAGGTCAGTCGTGCCCAGGTGGCGCTGGCGAGGCTGCAAGGCTGGAGTGACCCTCGGCCCAGTTGGTGCTGGTCCTCTGCGCCCCACGAGCGCAAAGACGAGGGCCACGCCGGGGACAGGGCTGCAGGGCGGGGTGGGTGGGTCCGCCGGGGATTTCCGTCCACGAGGGGCGTTGGTGGACACGCTGCTGTGGTTGGTAGGATGGAGCTGCTGAGGAAGGTCAGGGCTCACCTCGAAGTGAGGCCAAAAGCAGGAGAAAGAAAGTCTTTGCAGAGTGTGGTCAGGTTGATGGTTTTTCCCAAAGTGAGCTGGCTGGTCCCTGACACAGTAGTCAGGAAAAGCATCTTAGGGCCCCATGGCCCATGCTGGTGGGACTCCTGCCCACAGCCCACGTCCATCCCCCCCCACCGTCTCTGTCCTCAGTGGGGCCTGTCAGGGCCGTGGAGAAGAGTCCTCATCACCTCTGTGAGGGACGTGGCGCTGATACAGCAGCACATGGCTGTCACTCACAAGTAAACGCGTGTTTCGAGCTCTCCTGAGCTTCGTCAGGAAAGACAGGCTGTGTGACCGCAGACCGCCGCCCCGCTCTGCCACACAGGACGCACACGACAGGCCCGCAGCGTCTGGGAGCTTTCGGCCGCCCGCCCAGGGTGCGTGGCTGTTTCTCTGCCGCTCACCGTGCCCCTTCTCTTTGCAGAGATGGCTCAGGGATCCATCGGCGGCATCTTCCTCACCACGGCCGGCTCCACGTCCAATGGCACGAGGCTCTCCACCAGGTGATGTGTGGGGGCGGGGAGCCAGCCCCAGCTGCGCGTGGCCCCGGGTCCCTGCCCCGTTCAGCACGTGGCCCCGGGTCCCTGCCCTGTTCAGAATGTGGCCCGGAGTCCCTGCCCTGTTCAGAATGTGCCCCCGGGTCCCTGCCCTGTTCAGAATGTGCCCCCGGGTCCCTGCCCCGTTCAGCATGTGGCCCCGGGTCCCTGCCCCATTCAGAATGTGCCCCCGGGTCCCTGCCCCGTTCAGAATGTGCCCCCGGGTCCCTGCCCCGTTCAGCATGTGCCCCCGGGTCCCTGCCCCGTTCAGAATGTGCCCCCGGGTCCCTGCCGCGTTCAGCAAGTGCCCCCGGGTCCCTGCCGCGTTCAGCATGTGCCCCCGGGTCCCTGCCCCGTTCAGAATGTGGCCCCGGGTCCCTGCCCCGTTCAGCAAGTGCCCCCGGGTCCCTGCCCCGTTCAGAATGTGCCCCCGGGTCCCTGCCCCGTTCAGCATGTGGCCCTGGGTCCCTGCCCCGTTCAGCACGTGGCCCCGGGTCCCTGCCCGGTTCAGCACGTGGCCCCGGGTCCCTGCCCCGTTCAGCAAGTGCCCCCGGGTCCCTGCCCCGTTCAGCACGTGGCCCCGGGTCCCTGCCCCGTTCAGCATGTGCCCCCGGGTCCCTGCCCCGTTCAGAATGTGCCCCCGGGTCCCTGCCCCGTTCAGCAAGTGGCCCCGGGTCCCTGCCCCGTTCAGCACGTGGCCCCGGGTCCCTGCCCCGTTCAGCAAGTGGCCTGGGTCCCTGCCCCATTCAGCACGTGGCCCCGGGTCCCTGCCCCGTTCAGCATGTGGCCCCGGGTCCCTGCCCTGTTCAGCACGTGGCCCCAGGTCCCTGCCCTGTTCAGCAAGTGGCCTGGGTCCCTGCCCCATTCAGCAAGTGGCCTGGGTCCCTGCCCCGTTCAGCACATGGCCCCGGGTCCCTGCCCCGTTCAGCATGTGGCCTGGGTCCCTGCCCTGTTCAGCACGTGGCCCCAGGTCCCTGCCCTGTTCAGCAAGTGGCCTGGGTCCCTGCCCTGTTCAGCATGTGGCCTGGGTCCCTGCTCCGTTCAGCATGTGGCCCCGGGTCCCTGCCCCGTTCAGCATGTGGCCTGGGTCCCTGCCCTGTTCAGAATGTGGCCTAGGTCCCTGCCCTGTTCAGCAGGTGGCTGGTCTCCTGAGGCCACCGCAGCTGCTCTAGGCCTGTCCCCATGTTGGCTTCGTCCTCCTAAATGTTAAAAGTGATACCTGCTTTTTATTTGTTTGAAAAGTGGCACCTAGTAATACCACGACCCCACGTAGCCTGAGCCACAGTATTTCCAGATTTCTCCCATTTTTAAGAACGTGTCTGAGGTCTAGTTTACATACAATTCTGTTCTGCTTTTCAAATCTTAGAGTCTATGGTACATATTTTCCACGTTCTTGAAAGAGTTTTATTATTTAAGTAAAAGTACATTTAATCTTCAACCTGGTGGTCCCACAGAGCAGAATGACGTCCCCGGGGGTTTATCTTAGGTTTTTAACCACTTTGGTACCACACTCACCAGCCGCGAAACCTTGCCCACAGCCAGCACTCATAGTCCACATGATAGTCTGTGCTGTGCATTGACGATGAATCCATTTTGCTCTTGTGTGATGAGGAAAGCTTTAAAGCACTGAAAGCTTGTTTTAGTTTACAGGCAGTTTTACTTGTAATGTAAATCAGAAAAGGTAATATATATATATGTGTGTGTTTTCATTATGTTATATTTAAATGTTTACAGTTTTATTTTGATAAATGAAAAATTAGAAAAGTCATATCACGGCTGTCGGCTAATATCACTGTGTGACTTCATCTGTGGCTGTCGACTATAGTCATCGCTGGTCCTGAAGTGGTTAAAGATAGATATGAAGCAACTTTAACAGCAGATGTTAACAAAACAATGGTTTTATTAACGTTTATATTTTATTGTTATGCATTATATGATCACTCTGTGTTAATCCCAAATATTAAGAAAATGTTTAGTTTTGTGAAAGATAGGAAATTAGTAAACTACAGGTCCAGATCATAGGGCTGATCTTTTTTTTTTTTTTTTTTTTTTTGAGACAGAGTCTCACTTTGTTGCCCAGGCTAGAGGGCCATGGCATCAGCCTAGCTCACAGCAACCTCAAACTCCTGAGCTCAAGCAATCCTGCTGCCTCAGCCTCCCGAGTAGCTGGGACTACAGGCATGTGTCACCATGCCCGGCTAATTTTTTCTATATATATTAGTTGGCTAATTAATTTCTTTCTATTTATAGTAGAGACAAGGTCTCACTCTTGGTCAGGCTGGTTTCAAACTCCTGACCTCGAGCAATCCGCCCACTTCGGCCTCCCAGAGTGCTGGGATTATAGGCGTGAGCCACCGTTCCCGGCCCATAGGGCTGATCTATAAGCCCAGCGTGTTCACAACTGCTGGGATGTTATGCCGCCTTCTGGCGTGTCAGGGCGGTCATGCGGGGTGGGGTCCAGGTGCCACCACTCTCCTGGGAGCCGGGTTGTGACTGAGAGTCACCGACCAGCGGCAGGCCCAGCGAGGCAGTGCTGTGAGCCGGGACTCCTCAAGGTGCCCGTGCGTGGCGAGTCTCTTTCAGTTCTTCATCTCTAGCTGTGTGCACAAGTGTGGGCTGCTCTGCGGGGTGGAACTTGGGTGTCTTTAGGCTATTGTCTTCACATAATCCTTTTATTGATGGAACTTTTAAGACTTGTCAGTGGAGACAAAGTCGGCACCATTTCAGAAGAAAACGTTTTCCCAGTGGCCCTTATGAAAGGGCGTTTGGGTGGTTCCCAGTTACGAGCTAGTCTCACTGTGCAGGGTCAGTAAATGCCTGTGGAAGGCGTTAACACGCGTGCCCGTGGTTTGGCGCTAGTGTTTAGTGTTTGCACGCGCTGGCCGGCGGCGGGCTTCTGTGTGCCGCTGACCTCCCAGAATCCGCCACCGTGTGTGCTGCGCCCTGTCCACATGGCCAGAGTGGACGCCCTGCTTCCCGCCCCGCCCCACGCACTCCTCCCCCTGCCCCATGCGGGCGGAGGTGGACGTCCTGGGAAGAGGGGTCCGGGGTGTCCAGTGTGTGCCCCTCGCGGTTTGTCTCTGAGGGTGAGTGAGGACTTGCCGAGGGGCTCTTTGCCGTCCCTGTCTCCGTGACGGGTCCAGGACCACGGGCCAGGCAGGGTGTGCACAGACGGCCTAGTGGCCAGCACGGGTCCTGCGCTGCAGGTGTGACGGGAGCGACCGTGCCAGCCCGTGCCGGGGGCGCCTCTGACCTTGTGCGGCCCTGTCCTTGCAGTGACCTGACCAACGGCGGGGACGGGACGCTGGCCACCAGCTCCAACGGGTCCCAGTACAGCGGCTCCCGGGTGGAGACCCCGGTGTCCTACGTCGGGGAGGATGACGACGAGGACGACGACTTCAATGAGAACGAGGAGGACTGACGTCCACCAGGCGTCCGGCTCCAGCTGCGGGAGGAGCTGCCGAGGGAAGAGGAGCTGTTCTAACGTGGGTTTTTCTGTTTCTTTTTGGCCGACTCCCGGGAAGATGCTGCCGAGCCATTGGTTGGAGATGCGCCTCCGATGAGTGGGGCTGCTCCCGTGGTCTGCGGCCTGTGGGCGCGTGTGGTGCCGGCCCGCAGTCCAGGGCCTCTCGCTACTCCTTAGGGATTTGTGTTTCCATTTTCTTTCTTTTTTTTTTAAATTCAGAGTTTATTTTTGCCTCTTAACAATTCTCGCTGTGTTTGCTGAAGAAGCTGTTCTCCATCCACGTCAGTGATGATGAAGCGCTGCCCCGTGTGGGCCGCGGGCGCCTGCGTTCCCTGCAGCGTCTCGACGGCGCCCGGCAAGGCTCGTGCCGAGCTCGCCACGGTGAGTCACGCCGCGCCCGGAGAACCGCGCAGACGGGGCTCCACGTCCGGACGACGAGCAACGCGCGTTCTATCACGACTTCGTTCCCCAAATTATGCTGGCTGTCGGGACTCCATTGAGTGTGTACGCCTTCTCTCCTCTCTGCATTGCAGCAGCAAATCGCAAAGTGCTTCTCGTTTGTTTTTGTTTCGTTTGGCAAGAGTTTATGGCCACGCTGGCGCAGCTATGGAGACTGTCTGGAAGGGTTGGAATGGTTTATTGCTTATGGTAAAATTTGCCTGATTTCTTACAGGCAGTGTTTGGAAACTTTTTATTATATAGTTGTTTACATGCTTATGAGTCTATCATTTAAAGACATGTACCGAAACAGACATCGTGTTTGTTTCGTGAGCATCTTCCTGTAATCTATTATAAAGTTGAAATTAAATATAGAGACGTTTTAACAGTTTTTTAACTCAGAATTTGTCAATCATTTTTAATAGTTCTTTTTTTATAAAAAGAAAAAGGAATTTAAGGACAGGCAGTCGTCTCTGTTAAAATTTATTCACACAAAAAAAACCATTAACTGCACAGTTGCTGTTGGCTGCCTGTTCTAAAGCGATAGTCTTTTTATTGAAACACAAATAAACTTTTCTGTAATATTTTATGGAATATAAAGAGACTTTAATTGTTTGACTTGTTTAACTTGGCACTGTTAGTTTTTATTAATAAAACGCGCATGGGCATTTTAAACAAGCTCTGTGTTTCTCTGATTCGGGGCTATCGTGGAGAACTCCTGTCTGCTCCTCCTGTGCCACACTGGCCTGGGGGTGGCAGCCCTTGTCCCTGTGGTCGGTCCGGAGCTCGCCCTGCAGGCAGAGGGTGGTCAGAGGAGGCCGCGGGGCCGTGGGCGCCCTTCCTCCTGGTGTGCCTGTGCTCTTCCACGGCCCCCCACGGCTGAGACGGGTTTCGTGGGTTTGGCTCTCCGAAGGAGGAAAAGGTCGCGAGAGGATTCTGGGAGGTGGCGGAGAAGGAGACCGGGAGTCCGTGTCTCCACCGTCTGTCTGTCGGAGCTGGGCGTCTGTCGGGGGCTCCCGGCTCCCAGCCGAGGGCTTGGTCAGTGTGTCGGGGTGAGTTTCGGTCCATTTTGGCTCCATCTCCCTTCACCCCCGTCCCTTTGTGTTTCTCCTTCACCTTTTGGGAGCCAAACGGGCTGGCTGGGACACCCACAGCCAGTTGTGTGCGTGGGGAGTTAGGAGGCGACGTGTGTGCCCAGGGAGAGGCTCCGGATAGACCCGAGAGACCCCGAGTCTTCACCTCAGGCCGGCCCTTGGCACAGACAAGACCACGGCCGTCAAAACCCAGTAAGCAACGCCAGCAACGCTGGGGCGGGAGCCGGCTTTTCCTCACCGCACCAGCAGACCAAACGTCCGGTTCTCAACAGAAAGTCGGGAGCGTGGCCCGTTAAGGGGAAGAACAGATCAACAGAAACTGTCTCTGAAACAGGCCTGGTGGCAGATACACCAGACAAACACTTTTAAACAACTGTCGTAAAAGATGCTTAAAGATGTTAAGGGCGATGTGGAGAGAGTCAAGAAAATGATATGTGATTGAAACGGAAATATCAATAAAGAGAGAGAAAACCTAAAAAGACACCCCCAAAAATATGGAGCTACAAAAAACAGTAACTGAAATAAAGAACGTGCTCGAGTGATTCAGAGGCAGAATCAGCTAATTTTTTTTTTTTTTTTTTTTTTCTTTCTTGCCTAGGCTAGAGTGAGTGCCGTGGCGTCAGCCTAGCTCACAGCAACCTCAAACTCCTGGGCTCAAGCAATCCTCCTGCCTCAGCCTCCCGAGTAGCTGGGACTACAGGCACGAGCCACCATGCCCGGCTGATTTTTATATTATATATATTGGTCAATTAATTTCTTTCTATTTTTATGGTAGAGACGGGGTCTCGCTCAGGCTGGTTTTGAACTCCTGACCTTGAGCAATCCGCCCGCCTCGGCCTCCCAGAGTGCTAGGATTACAGGCGTGAGCCACCGCGCCCGGCCCTGAATCAGCTAATTTGAAGGCGGGACGATGGAAGTAACTGAGTCTGCAGAACAGAAGGACATGGAAGGAAAGTGACAGGGTCTGAGGGGCCGTGCGTTGTCACCAAGCCGAGGGGCGTCAGGACGAAAGGAGCAGGAAGGGGCAAGGAGGATACTTAAAGACACAATGGTCAGAAATGCACCAAGTGTGATGAAAGACGTGAACGCATCCAGGCACCTCTGTGAACTCCAGGGGAGGTGAACTCGGACTCACAGGGACACGTGATTCAACTTTCAAAAGACGGAGAGTCTTGAGAGCAAAAGAGGAGGAGCCGCTTGTCACACATAAATGATTCTGTAAAATTGCAGCCTTTTCTCAGAAACTGAGGCCACGAGGCAGTGGCCAATATGTTCACAGTGCTAGAGGAAGAAGAAATCTGTCTTCCACGCATACCATGTCCGACAAAGCCATCCTCCCAAGCGCGGCATCAAACATCCTCGGATAAGTGGCAGCCGCGGGAGCCTGTTGCAATGGGGCCTGCCCTGCAGGGAACTCCGGAGAGTCCCGTGGACTCTGGGCAGCAGCTCGAGGTCCTGTGGGGAGAGCAAGGTCTCAGTAGAGGTGAGCGCAGGGGAAATCATAAAAGCCAGTATTTTAAGAACAGCTTGAAGCCCACTTTTGTTTTCTACGTGATTTACGAGACTACTGCAGTTTTTTAAAGCCTCAAAATTAGCCCAAGAGGTAGTATTATTTTAACTTTGGTTTGTAATTCCACATTTTGTTTTCTATATAATTTAAGGGATGAACTCACTTAAAGGAATTGTTATCGAACGTAGAATGTGTCGGTAGATAATTTTGTGATATCAACAGCCTGAGGGCTAGGGACAGCAATAAAGGAGTAGAGTTGTCGTACCCTGCTGAAGGCTGAGCTGGTGTAAATTCAAATCAGAGCACTATTTTCCAAAAGTGAGCGAGGAATTACTTTTGAAAAAGTGAGGAAATGAGATACGGACTTTAACTACAAAAACCCAACAGAACACAAAAGAGGATTGATGCAGGAAAGGAAGAGCTTAAAAAGCTGAAGGGCATGTAGAAAAATAGCGAAATGACAGGCGTCCTTGTTAGCAATCACTTTCGACGTAAAGGGATTGAATTTTCCAAAAGACACATTGGCAGAATGGATAAAAACACAAGGTCGACCTATATGTTGTCCACGAGATACTCACTTTAGGTCCAAAGACAGATTGAAAGTGGAGTATCTTTTTCCATTCTTTTATTTTAAATAGTCACCGAAAGAGAGCAGGGGTGACTCTATTAATATCAGACGAAATAGACTTTAAATAAAAAGTTAGACAGGAGAATATTGTATATTAATAAAAGGTTCAATACAGTAAGAATGTAAAACAATTACAAATATTTATATATGCCTGATGACAGGCCACCAAGATATATGAAGCAAAAACTAACATAACTGAAGCAAGAAATGGTTCTTTAATTATAGGAGATTCCAATACAGTACTGTTAATAGTGGATATTAGTTAGGAAATGGAGTCTTTGATAAACCCGCTAGATCTCACAGACGTGCCTACCCAGCTCGCTCTGCCCAGCAGCAGACCTGGGACAGTGCCCAGCACACGGAACAGGCCTCTGTGGATTTAAAGGGTAGATCCCACGAGATCTGTCTTTTCTGACCACAAGGAGATGAAGCTGCAAGCCAGCAACAGAAGTCAAACCGGAAATTTCACAGAACTGTGGAAATTAAACAGCATGCTCCTAAACAATGAGTCAGAGAAGCAGCTCAAGGGAAATTAAAAAGACTTAGAGGAAAATGAAAACGCAACATACCAAGATGTTTTGAGATGCGGCAAAAGCAGCGTTAATGGAGAAAATCATAGCTATAAGCCTTACATTTGAAACAAATCTCAAATCAACAACCTCTAACTTTACACATTCAGGAACTAGAAAAAGACCAAACTAAACCACAGCTAACAGAAGGAAGGAAATATTAATAAAGATTAGAGGCCGGGCGTGGTGGCTCACGCTTGTAATCCTAGCACTCTGGGAGGCCGAGGCAGGCGGATTGCTCAAGGTCAGGAGTTCAAAACCAGCCTGAGCGAGACCCTGTCTCTACTATAAAAATAGAAAGAAATTAATTGGCCAACTAATATATATATATAAAATTAGCCGGGCATGGTGGCGCGTGCCTGTAGTCCCAGCTACTCAGGAGGCTGAGGCAGGAGGATTGCTTGAGCCCAGGAGTTTGAGGTTGCTGTGAGCTAGGCTGACGCCACGGCACTCACTCTAGCCTGGGCAACAAAAGCGAGACTCTGTCTCAAAAAAAAAAAAAAAAAGATTAGAGCAGACATAAACAGATAGTAGAAAAACTGGGGAAGAAATCAATGAAACCAAAAGGTGGTGCTCAGAAAAGATTGATGGAACAGACAAACCTTTAGCTGGAGGTACTAAGAAGACAGGATTTCATTACTAAACTCAGGCATGAAAATGGAGACATTCTTACCGCCTCCACAGAAATAAAGATTATGAGATAATAATACAAAAAATTATACAGTAATAAATTTACAAATCTAGATGAAATGGACAAATTCCTAAAAATAACACCTACATAGACTTTAGTAGACTTTTAACTAGTAAGGAGA